CTCAACGCTAGTTTAAACTTTTTTTTATAGTACAGACATTATAGAAAATATAAAATCTCATATGGATAAAGTCATTGCACAGAAGTGAATTAAGGATGGGGTTAGATCAGGGAGGGGAAAGTTACATAGAAAAGGTAGGGAGGAGGGAAATAAAAAGAAATGAAATGTGGTATAAAGAAATGAGGGCAGACTACCTTCAGCTAAACCCATTGAGGACAGAACAAAGTACTGCAAACAACTGCAATCCCTGGTCCCAACATCATGCTCTTTCCCTCGGTGCAACAGGATAAACAGATTATGCCTGACTTGGGGGCAAAGGGTCCATGAAGAGATCCAACCATGGTCCCCATATTTTTCATAACTTAGCAGAAGTATCATGGAGGACCACTGTGAATTTTACCGTTGGGTAGCCATATCCATCAGGTTTTCATGGACAAACATAGTTTTAACATGTTGATCATGTAGAATTTAGGTATTGCAGGGCTCTTGATTGATTTATCAACCTTTTTTCTTCTTGGAGAATTTGACCTCTACATACTATAGGGCAGCACTTTCGTTACGTTGCCCATCAATTTGCATAAGTGAAATGAGTCCTGGAAAACATGGTGGATATGATATCCCTAAGAATGAGCCAGATCATATCATCAGTCGATGTTTAGGGAGAGGTGCCTTCCAGTGTTTTGATATGCTTAATCAAATTGCTGAAAAAATATTGGAAAATTAGCTTGTTAGCATGTCTAGTCAAGTGCTCCTATTTGTAAAAGCATATGTTTGTAGAAAAATACAGAATCCTCTTGCACTGAACTGGATTGAAGATAGTGTCATCTCAGTGGATGTTCCCAATGGCTAATCTATAGATTCCAGATTAGTATACAAGTTTCTCAAAACATAAACATATAATATGCACAGATGATGTCCACTGGTTATATATAGAGCTAGATATTGAGATATAGATATGGTTATCTCCTGTCCTGGCCTTATGTCAGTAATGGAGAAGCATTGGACAAAAGCAAATTTGGCTAGGCAAAAGAAAAATGAAGACAGTTGTTTCCTTTTTCTTTTGTCTAGCCACTAAACTGAATCTTACTGGCTGAGATAGGTTCCTTACAAAAGCAGGTCTGCCAACTGCCTAATTTCTGACAGGAAAATACCAATTTGGGGCTCTTGTTCAGCGCTCCCAGGTTTGTCCTTTTTTTTTTTTTTTGAAAACCCAAGGGAACTGTTCCCATTAAGTGTAGCACATATTTAATAAAATATGCTCATGCTATGCTAACAGCTCCAGGACCGGTGGGCAGAACTATCAGGATAGCTAATGGGGTCCCTTACATTCCACCTGTCTTAGGGGGCACAGGAGGTGGCTGGGTGGCCACATCAAGGCTTTCCTGAAGTGCCGTTATCCACTAAGGCAGACTTGGCACCTGCTTATCTAGATGGCAGGTGCCTACTCTGCCTGAGAGGGAATTGTAGATGGTGTCAAGGGAGCACTGATGTTCCTCCTCTACCTCCCTGCTTCCCCACCAACCAGATCCATTCTTCCCCCCATCCCCTGCCATCCCGGTAAGCACCTGCCATCCCGGTAAGCACCTGTGTTGATGCTAGGAGCCAGGATATGACATCACTTTGGCACCAGCATCACTAAATGGCACAAAAGTAGCCAAAAAGAGGTTGGTCCTTGATAGCAGGAATGAAAAGCATGAAGATTACAGCTGCCACTGAACCTCCAAGGAAAATATCCCAGCTGGACCTTATAGAGAGGGGCCACACCAAAAAAAAAACACAATATAAATTATATTCATTTGTGAGTGTCTGTGGAAGGATGTGTAAATGTGATGTCAGCTGGTCTATGTGGCCGAGGTTGGACAAAATTTACTTTGATGATACAATTTCAAGGTAGCAAAAAAAGGGTTGGCCCTTGAGTAGCAGGAAGACCATCAGTTTATATCAAATCAGTCCTAAACTGTATGCCAGAGGACACTAAGCAATGTGGGGAGGGGTAATGGGGAAGACTCTAGTCAACATAAAACAAACTAAAGTATTTACTGTGCTAAACTTTGCACAGAAAGCAAGCAGGTCATACCTCTGCTGTTATCTACAAAGTTATTTTGTTTGTGCATGGCTGTGAATGATGGATGTTACAGATTGTAGTTGCAGGTACCAAATTAACAAAAGTACCGCCTTACTCTCTCACACAGTTTTCCTATTTATTTATTTATTTATTTATTTATTTATAAAATATTTTACCAGGAAAGATACATTGAGATTTCTCTCGTTTTCAAGTATGTCCTGGGTCCACAAATCATTGCATTGTTACATTAGGTACAACAAAATACAAAAACAATATTAATACACAATATATACAAAATTTAACATAGAACAGGCAGGAAATATATAATCAACCATGACACGTGCATTCTGTTTTGAGGTATGTAGAGAGGGATCTCTTAAATGACTTTAGGCTTAGGGAAGATTTTAAATTGTGCGGGAGGTCGTTCCACAATTGCGGCGCTCTGTAGGAGAAGGAGGATCGGGCCGCTTTCTTTTTGTATTGAGGTAGACTAAGTAAAGTGCTTGTACTGGATCGGAGCTTATAGAAAGTGGGAACAGCTAAGGAAAGCATTTTGTTCAGGTAGGGTGGGAGTTTCCCAGAGAAGCTCTTAAAAACAAGGCTGGAAAGATGAAGGGTGCGTCTGGATTCCAGCGACAGCCAGTTTAGTTCCTTTAGCATGTCACAATGATGGGTCCTGTAATTACATTGTAGCACAAATCGGCAGAACGAGTTATACAATGTGTTGAGTTTATTAATGTGGGATTGCGATGCAGACGCATATACTACATCCCCATAATCAATGATTGGCATCAGCATTTGCTGTACAATCTTTTCCTTTACTGTAGGGCTTAGGCAGGCTTTGTTTCTGTACAGGGCACCTAATTTTGGATAAAGTTTAGATGCAAGCTTTTCTATGTGCAGGCCAAAAGATAAATTGGGGTCTAATATCATACCCAAGTATTTGAAAGAGTGGACTGCGGTCAGTGTGCCATTTGAATTTGTTTTGATGGATAGGTGGGGATTGTGTAATTTGTGCAATTTAGGTACTGTTCCAAAGATCATTGTGACAGTTTTGTCAGTGTTCAGGAAGAGTTTGTTTTTTGCGATCCACTTTTCTACCTCTGTAAACTGGTCTTGGAGCAAAGCCTCAAGTTGCGGTAGATTGGGTTTGCTCGCATAGATTACCGTGTCATCTGCGTACATGTGTACATTTGAGGATTGGCAGGCATAAGGCAGATCATTTATAAATAATGTAAATAGTAGGGGGCCGAGAATGGAACCCTGGGGAACACCACACGTGACCGGGAGAGGGAGGGAGTCACTGTCAGAAATGGACACATATTGCGAGCGATCCGATACATACGATCGAAACCAGTTTAAAGAATGATCACCAATACCTGAGTTTTCGAGTTTGTGCAGTAGAATGTCGTGGTCTACTGGTCTATGAATGTAATGAGAAAAAAACTGATTTCAGATGTAACTCAAAGTAGCCAGATAGCATCCAGCTGAAGCTATAGACTTTCCTTAAAAAAGCAAATAAAAAAAATCAAATATTGGTGGATAGACTCCCAAATGTCTAACAGTGTAATGCAAATTCTAACTTGCTCAGGACAATAAATAGTTCATTAAAGAAGGAAGCTTTGAGAGTGCAATTCCACTTATCGTCACTGCATGTCGCTAGAGGAGAGTATGTAAAATATATAATTACAGAAACCTCATTTGTGCTATAGTGTGACCTAGTGATTGATCTTTTCCTCAGCACTATGTCTGTGCATTAGGAATAAAAAGGTGTCAATAATTTAGTGTGAACATATTTTGCTCCCCATTGTCACTTCTCTATAGTCTTCAAAACACAGACAGATTGCAATCCAACTTTGTATTTGCTCTGTGCTGGGAGTGGTGCAAACATTTTAAGCAAACAACCATTCAACAAGTTCAGCTCCTTTTTTTAGTGCCCAGGAATAGGGTAAATCCTCCACCACTGGCAAAGTCTGCACCAGTGATAACTAAACCTGACATCCCTTGCATTTGGGAATTAATCTCACGTGCAAGATGCCAACAAAAAAATGAGAATTTTATAGTAAACAAAGTATGTAGTAGGTCACATTTACTAGGTCAATTTTAAATAAACTTGACTGCACTAATGCTTTATAATTATATATATATATATATATATATATATATATATATATATATATATATATATATATATATATATATATATATATAACTATAGGTAGATTATTATACACACACACACACACAAATACATGCAAATACAAACATGCAGGGGGAGGGGTGTAACACACACACACACACACACACAAACACATGCAAATACAAACATGCAGGGGGAGGGGGGGGTGTGTGTGTGTGTGTGTGTGTGTGTGTGTGTGTGTGTGTGTGTGTGTGTGTGTGTGTGTGTGTGTGTGTGTGTGTGTGTGTGTGTGTGTGTGTGTGTGTGTGTGTGTGTGTGTGTGTGTGTGTGTGTGTGTGTGTGTGTGTGTGTGTGTGTGTGTGTGTGTGTGTGTGTGTGTGTGTGTGTGTGTGTGTGTGTGTGTGTGTGTGTTACAATTTCTGCTCAGCAATATGCAGATGAATCAAAGCAGCCCTTCTGAGAACACACTATACTTCACTAATTTATTTATTCCAAGAACTGATTTAACTTTTAATAGCAGAATGGATGTGGGTTAATGAGGATTAGCAATATTCCCGTTTAAATTCAGCTGTAAAGTAAAAGCCACAGAAGATAGCGATACTAATGAAAGGAAGGGGGGGAAAAAATAAAGAAAAGTATTAACAACCAATTAATAGGACGTTTCCTGTATAGCTGTGATGTGGTGGACGGGAATGAAAGTCAATGGCTTTTTGCTGTGGTTTGTTAATTAAAGAGCTTGACTTGGCCAGTGCCCACCTGGGACCTTATCTACGCATGTTGCAGGAGGGCATAAGACTGGCTGTGCTCTAACCCTCCAGTAAGATCTCACAGGCTGACTCCAGCATCAACACTCTCCCACCAACTAGTTCACTTTTATTGTTTCCACCCACATTGAATTCAATATTATCACATCCAGCCACCTCATGGACATCCTAAACTATATATAAGAGGCAAGACTGGAGCTGGTATGCTCTACACAACACTAAGAGGCAGCTAAAGGGCAGCTGCTAACTTACTTTCACACAGAAACTTAACAAAAGGATGACTGATTGAGTCCTTTATTTTATTGTATTATTTCAACACAACAAAAAAGGATCCAGTTGGAAAAAAAAGAAGGAAAAAGAAGATTTTAGAAACTACAGAGAATCCATCAGCAAAGGTAACCTGGAAGAAGTGTGCTTTGCAGTGTGTGTCTGTGTGTGAAAGCATGTGTCTCTGTGTGCATAGAAAGCTTTGAGAGTCCTGTTCTGGCTGGTCTTGCAGGCTGCAGTTGTCTGTAATCACCTGTGTTGTCAGAGTAGGATGTAAAGAATAAAATGTGTTTGAGGTCCGGTGTGTGAATGTTTACTCAGACGCCAAGCAGAGTGAAATGTGTGTGACTGTAGGAAAAGTCTATAGTTCTCTATGTACCTAGTTTAGGGATTGTTTGCGAGGCATGCAGGAAAGTGGGCTGATATAGCTTACAGAGTTGATTCTAGAGAGGCAGGCTCACTATAATCTAGAAAGCATGCCTGGATTCAGAGTCTGCTGTCAGAATTCTAACACAGATATATTGTTTCTTTTTTTTCATTCCTTATCCCAGGATTCTACGAATTCCAAGCCTGGAGAGATCCGGTTAGTTAAACCTGATCCCAAGCAGATATGAGAGATCTCAGGTGCTCTGCATTGCTGGCTTTGGTACTCTCCATGCTATCTTCTGGATACTGCAAAGAGAGGACTGACTCCAGCACACTCAGTGACAAAAGCCTCTTAAATTTCATCATGAAAATTATTAAAGACTTAGAAAAGCATAATTTGGAAGATGAGAATGGGGTGCAGTATGTGTCCAAGCAGGAAGATTACAGCTCAGAGGCCAAGGAGGATTTAGATTATGGACTGTATCACGAGCAGAAAGTGGGTGAGTACACAAAGTTTACTTTTTTACATATACAGTATAAGCCATCATACACTTTACATAGGATTCAATGCTGTCCATTGGGCTATCAGCTTATATTTTAATATATAGAAATATTATTTATGAAATGGAATGTGTGATTTTGTTTTTACACTTGCTTTCCTTACATTGCTCTTCCTTGGCATTTGTTAAGTTAGGGGGAATGTGTGCACTGTGCAGGTGTAATGGAAATGCGTTCTCTTTCAGGGAGAGCTGCATAGATTTAACCCTTTAAGAACCGGATTTGTGACACAATCTCTATAACGAGTTGAAATCTTTTAGTGTATATTTTGCCTTTTTTTCCAGCCCATTCTGTGTTTCACTCAGTGAGTGTCATTGATGTAAGCAGTGCCCCAGCACTCAGAGGTCTAGGATAGAACTAGACTCACACTCTCTCTGCCAGAGATGAATCACTCAGGATTAATCTCCTTAGATTGTTACTTGATTTAACCCTGGTTGGCTCAAGACAGATCTCCATTTGCTTCAGGACTACAACTCCCACTATGCTTTGCCAGTCCTAACACTAATAACTTTGGAGTTACAGCTCTACAACCCCTGGGGGTCTGCTACTACTTTAACCTTTTGGGTGCCAGACCTGTTCCTAACGTAATACTTGTGGCACTCAAAGGGTTATTAATAGTAACTACATCCTGCAAACTGTCTCCATTTACAGAACACAAAGATGGAGGGGGCAGTCTAATTGCACTCTCTTTGGGAAATAGCATTGTTTTCCCCCCAGAGCAGCAATCTCATGGGAACCTCACACTAAGTAACCAGAACGTGCCTCACTTGCTGTTGGCAAAGGAGAGGCCAATCATACGAGGGTCAATCACATCTAGATAAGCTGAACAAAGAGTCTAAGCCACACGAGGCTTCCAGCAAACAGGGAATGCAGCGTGTTTAATGTATTTATTATCATTTGTTTTTATTTCTATGGTGATTACAGAATAGACCATAATAAATGCATGCCCCTAGGTCAAACTGTGATGAGTCTGTGTGGGAGGCACACACAGCACGTAGTTGTTGGCATGTGTGAATTGGATTGTGTAAGATGGCACTGGGGGCTGTGGGTCGCTCCATAGGTGACTGGGGCCACATGCTGGAGCTTGTAGGTACAGGAAGCTGCCATAGCTTTGTTTATTTAACAACAACAACAAAAAGTTGTTTTTCAGACAAATAGAAATACCCTCATTATTGATATGTTTTTATATAAACACAGACACACACACACACACACACATTCTCCCTTTCATAATTCTTATCCAGCTCCTTTATCGAGGTTAGGAAATGTTTTAACCCTATGAGCACTAGGCAGGAGGTGAGCAACGAACTTGCAGTCCTTTTCTGATCTCTCCAGCACTGGAATAAAAGGGAATCATGACATGTCACACATGTCATGTGTCTTTAAAGGGTTAAACAATGAATGTGCCAGAGAACGATGTAAGGGTCACGTTTAGATAGACTTCCCGATACTTTGTAACAAGCAGTTTTGCCTATTTCAAATGGGCAAAACAAACAAACTACTACTTAAAATGGGGTTGAATCTATACTAGGATTACATTGCTACATGTATTTATCAGACTAGGGATATATTCTTTTTAATGTACTGTCCATCAAGATACTAAATCACTCAATCTGCAACTTTCACAGAGAATCTGTCAGTTACTAAATATTCTGCTTTATTTATTTGTTGCTTTTTTATTAAAGTCCCTTTCTTAAGCACTGCATGCCAATGTAGTGGTTATAGTGCGATCAACCTGTAGGCATCGTTCCTCTGTTCATTTTTGTAATGGTTATCAGGCTGGGGCACCATTCCTATGTTCATTTTTGTAGTGGTTATAGTGTTATCAGGCTGTGGGCACCATTCCTCTGTTCATTTTTGTAGTGGTTATAGTGTTATCAGGCTGTGGTCACCATTCTCCTTTCCTATAAAGTGATATGACCAAACTGGGGAGTCCACAAAGCACTAACACCCCAAGTTCTGGTCACTGAGGTGCAAATGCAAGAATATTTTTTTCCATATCTGAACAGCTTTGATTGACTGAACATGTCAGTTGCACCCACACAAAGCCATCCAATTGTGTTCAAAAACCATTTGACCCAAAAAGAAGTGGTACACCTTGTATTATAGCACCATAACTACTACATCGAGATTTAAAGGTTGCAGTGCTTATACTGCACCATTAATATAAGATTTTACATAAAAAGGGCAATTCTGTTGTGGTTTTTAGCTATAAAAGTGGAGCGATTGCAGTGAAAACCATTGGGTTTTACCTTCCATTTGTCCTACTTTCAGAGCTTTGTCACAGGACTCCTCTCTATGCGAGACTTAATAACAGGTTCTGATAGTGTTACCTGTGAAATAAAAGAAATGATTGTATTAGACTTTAATAGCTCAAAATAGAAAGGAAATTAAGCAGACTGAAAGACAGTGGTTTATGTCAGTTCTTGCATTCAGTGTTACCTACAAATTGCAATGAAATTACAGTCATGTTGAACACCAGGTGATCAGTCACATTTTAGCAAAAGCAAAAGCATACCCAGAGCACTCTTTATCAGATACAACTGCTCAGTAAAACAAAGTGTGACCATAAAAACTGGATAAATGAAGTCTGGAAAATCAGCACCTAGTCTGAAAAATATTATTAATATCCATTATAAAGAATCAGAAAATGGTGTGAACCCATGGATCCATCCTTCCTTGGGTCACTGGTACAAGATGGCGCTGGTTTAGGATAGGTAATTGGCATAATTTCAAGTTAGTTCCATAAATGAAAGACTGACTTCAGTTTACTCCAATGGCCTACAGGGTTTTCCAAACTCTGGCCCTCCAGATGGTGCTGGACTACAACCCCCATTATTCTCTGGCTATCTTTTTTATTGAAAGAATCATGGGAGATGTAGTTCAGCAACATCTGGAGGGCAAGAGTTTGGAGAACCCTACCCTACACCATGCCCAGTTCAATAAAGCATATTTTGTATTATTATTATTATTATTATTTATAAAGCGCCAGCAAGTAACGTATCGCTGTACAATGGGTGGACTAACGGTCAAGTATTTGTGACCAGACGAGTTGGACACACAGGAACAGAGGGGTTGAGGGCCCTGCTCAATGAGCTTACATGTTAGAGGGAGTGGGGTAATGTAGCGCAAAAGGTAAGGGTAGGGCAGAAAAGTAGGTTGTTATGATAGTGTTCATTGAGGGTTAATGTTTTGTTTTGATGACAGTTTCAGGAGAGGAATCAGGGTGCGGGAAGGGAAAGCTGTTCACAGTTTAATTTATATGCTTTCCTAAACAAGTAAGTTTTCAAAGATTTGGGAGATGTGGGCGGACAGGAAGATGAACCTTGCCGCTGCATTCATTATAGACTATAACAGGCAAGTTGGGAACACGTATGACCACGAAAAGTAGATTACAGTAGTCAAAGCGAGAGAGGACAGCGGCATCGACAAGCACCTTTGCCGTATCAGGTGTTAAATAGGGTCGGATACGCGCAATATTTTTGAGATGGAAGCGGCAGAATTTGGTGAATGATTGGACATGAGGGGTGAAGGAAAGGTCAAAATCAAAGAGAACACCTAGGCAGCGAGCCTTAGCGGTAGAGCGGATGGTGGCGCCATTGACTTGGAGGGACACAGACAAGGGAGTAGCAACACTTGAGGGAGGAAAGACCAGAAGTTCTGTTTTGGATAGGTTCAGTTTAAGGAAATGAGCAGCCATCCAGCTGGAAATTGCAGAGAGGCAGTCAGAGACATGAGTTAAGAGGGGTGGTGAGAAATCAGAGGGAGGACAGATAAATTTGCGTGTCATCCGCATAGAAATGATACTGGAAGCCAAAGGAGCTGATGAGTTTACCAGGGGAGGCAGTGTAGATTGAGAACAATAGGGGACCAAGGACAGACCCTTGGGGAACACCAACCTGGGATGATGTGAAATGGGTGGTTCACAGCATAAAAGTGGGTTTGAATATCTGCAGATAAAAGTGTGGCTATCCAATTAGAAGTACCCAGATCCCTAATCAATAATAAAAATAATAGAAAAGTATTTACAGCATTTGGATTCCATATTGAATTTGTGATGCTGGAAAAATAAATGGATTCTTACACAATACTGGATGGTTGTAACTAAATAAATGACCATTGAGTCTCTGTTTTATGAACATTTGAATGTTATAATGGCTCTACTAGATGGATGTAAATTAAATATATAGACACTTGTCTTTAAACAGTCATCTTCTGTGGTTGACATCAGTGGGAAATCGTAAGTTACATAAACTGTGAATTCACAGACAGTGGTGAGGGGATTGGAAATGTATTGGCCTGGTTAAGACAAAGTCCATATTGGAAATATTGAGGACATCATAGATTGCTCAGAAAAAAGGTAGATTGAAAATGAAAGCATATTTTGATATACAACATTATTCCAAAATTAAAATAATCCTACATATGCAAAAAAGATTTGAATGGCAGATTTTTCCCATTAAGGGGGGCTCATTGGCTTGGGCAGTGTAATATGAGCGAGGTTCTTACAGTTCTAAAATATAAACCTATGTATACTTCACAATATAAATAAAGGTAATAAGCATATGTTGTGTTGGTAAATTTACATTCTGAAGACGTGATTCTCACACAGCCCCTTGAAGGCAGATGCTCTATAATGTTTGTTTGTAACACGTTTTAGTGAGGGTTACCCCCTAGAAGGCTGTCCCTGACACACATTAATACTAGTCTCCCTTCGGGGTACTAGTTTTTTCTTGTTTTTGCTCTATAATGTAACCTTAACTTAATCACTAGAGATGTCGCAAACCGTTCGCGAACTTCCCGGCGAGCTCCGGTCAGCTGACACATCCCGGCAAATCTCCAGCAGACCCTCCCTCCCAGACCCTCCCACCTCCTGGACAGCATACATGTTGAAGCTGCCTTCAACATGGATGCTGTCCAGGAGGTGGGAGGGTCTGCTGGAGATTGGCCAGGATGTGTCAGCTGACCGGAGCTCGCCACGAACCGCGGCGAGCCGTTCGCGGGAAGTTCACGAACGGTTCGCGACATCTCTATTAATCACAGATATATTAACCAGGATAGGTCTGGAATAATTTGTGTTGTGATATGTTAACCAAAGGTTTCTAAATTATAGGATAAAGCAGGATAAAGCAGACCTTCTTGGTGTTATTATTTATTTTATTATTATTATTATATGTAATATTTTAAAGTGCACACATATTCTGCTTTACTTTATAATCGATAGATAATAAAGAAATTATAACAAGATGAGCGAAACAAACAGGAACACAAGATTTTGGGTTCCCTATGTCCTATAGATCATTTGCCATATATATATGAAACCAGGGGGTTGTACTCACTTGAACATGCATAAATGGGGTGCTGCTGGGGGCCAATTTATACAATACACAATATCCAGCACACTCACTTATCTACTAAAGAGCAACAGCAACAGATCTTATGATATATATATATATATATATATATATATATATATAAACTAACAATAATCTGTCTAACCAGTAGAAATTCCTATATTACTGTAATTTCTAGGTCGTGTCCTGTGAAAACACAAATCAGTCCTTGATTTTAACAATGACATTTCCTATAATTTATGTGTTTTTGCTCAAAGCCTATCATAGAAATAATGAAATTGCTTCATTTTTCTAAGTACATTTTTAGGAACGAGTTGTCTACTGCATTCTTAGTGGTATAAAGCCATTGAGAGTCAAGTCATTGTCCACACCGTGATGACATTACACCTCTTTCCATTCTATTTTTAATTTTCAGCAAGGGAAAAGAGAAGCACTGGAGGCATGTGTCTATTACAGACCAAGGTTGTCCTCTGTAAGACAGTGTCCCGCAGAAGGAGCACGATTCACATATCATTTCTATCTTGGTTTCATCTCTAGATCATTATTATTAAGACTTGCATCTAGAAAATAGTAATAGCTGGTCAGCCAGTCCACCAAACCCTATCGTCTTCCTTACCATCTGTCAACAAAAAAATAGAACATTACAGTAGTGCATTTTTACATGACAGCACCAGGCTTTATGGTCAAACAGAGGACTAGTCTCTCTGTGACCGTTACTGAAAGGTTTGTCAGTGAATTGGTTATGCAAATACATGATTTTACAACGTGCAACTATCATCAGTTTAAGTTCCATCTTGGCATTTTTAAATATTTCCTAGAGCTATAGTGTATAATTTTCTCCTTTAAACAAATGTAACCTGTTTATTAAGCTAAGCAGAGTATTCTTTATCAATCTAGGTTACAGGCAGAAGGTATATGAGACGGCAGTAAACATATAGTGAAAGAATTGTGTTTAAATAGATCATGATAGCACAGGCTGAGCTTAACAGTTTGGATGCCTATATTTCCCTTTCTTATGTACTTTGGCAGAAAGATTTCAACATTTTACGGTGATTGTCAATCAAAGGTTCATGTCTTTACTTGTCTTTTCAACACTTTCCAAAACTTTTGCAAACCGTGCACTTAATTTGTGTGTTTTTTTCCATACAGAAATAGTTCCCAGAGACCTGCGGATGAAAGAAAAGTTTTTAAAACATTTAACAGGTAATAGTCCTGACTGTTTGTTGTTTTTCTAAAATGTTGATATATATATTTTTTTTTTAATCAAACTTTTATGTTTTTTTTGTTGGTTCAGGTCGACTGTCTTTCCCTAGTCCGAACTGCAATAAACTCTTTCGCAGACTATACAATACTACAAGAGACTGCACCATTCCTACACGTATGTATGTTTAAGACATTCATTCAAAACTGAAAAAAAATATATATATATACATATATATAATTTTATTTATGTTTATTTATATTTTATATATGTGGTGGTGTTTCATTATTAAAGTGCAGATTTTTGATTGTATATCATAATTATATAAGTTCTCACCTTAATTATTTGGTCAATGGCTCCTGTAGCTAATTTTAGGTCATTTGATAATACATTGATTTAATGCGGCTGAGATAGATTGTAATATCTTGGTAAGTTTAAAGGTCTTGCTAAATCAAATTTAAGATAAGTTAATCAATAGGCTGGCTGGTTTCCATGTGGAGTGGAGTCTTGGAACTTCAAAGGATTTCTGGCAAGGGCTTTGCAGAGCATCCACTCTTTCCTACCCCTTTTGGAAGATCTTTTTAGTGGTTTACTAAGGTAGCAGAATACAATTGTATCATCATATTTTGGTCCTTGTCTTAATGAGGTGGATATCTTGACTATGATATTATATCCTGGTGCTGTGTTTCAATAAGCTGTTTAACGCCAATGAGTTCTGATCCTACTCAGAACACAGAAATCTATTCCTTACTGATATCCACTGGGTAAAAAAACCTAGCTGACATTGAACATCTAGAAAGGGGACTGGATTTTCCTTTTCCCAATACTATGGATACCCTTGTACATAGTTTATATCCATCAGAGTACTGAATGTTGGCTATTCTTGCAAAAGTTCTAATGAAAACCCAGGTCAACAAACATGGTTGGACTATGAAATCTGTAAGATCTGTGCAATTGAGTGATCCATTGACTACGACATATTAAGCAGTAAGAAGACTGTGCCTGGAATATTTACAATTGCTCATGCAGTTCTCGCATACTTTACACACCATTTTTTCCATATTTATCTTTTTAGGTCAGGAAAGTTGAATAGATCCTGTCATGTTCCAAGTGACAGAATTAGACAGCAAGAGGCCCATGCATGGATATTAGCATTTACTTATCCAGTTCATTCCTTGCACATATTCCCTATTTACATAGAGTTTTGCAATATTTACTTTTGTTAGGTCAGAGACATTTAATAAAGACTCTCTTCTTTTGTACCTTCACTGTGGCCCCGATGAGTGATAGAAGGCAGCAGACATACACTGATCAGCCACAACAGTTAAACCACCTGCCTAATATTGTGTAGGTTCCCTATGTGCTGCCAAAACAGCAGTGATGCGTTGAGACATAGACTCCACAAGGTGGTATCTGGCATCAAGGTATTAGAAGCAGATCCAAGTCCTACAAGTTACAAGGTGGGGCCTCCATTGGTCGGATTTGTTGTTCTAATAAGATTGAGATCTGTTGAATTTAGATGACAAGGCAACATCTTGAACTCTTTGTCATGTTTTCTCTTACCCATTATTCCTGCTTCCAACACATGATATCCAAGAACTGACTGTTCACTTTCTGCCTAATATACCCCACCCATTGACAGATGTCAAGGTAATGATATAATCATTATAATGGCATTGTTATTCACTTCAGTTGTCAGTGGTTTTAATTTTGTGGCTGATCAAGTAAAGTCAAATCCATGCAGAAAAGGTAAAGGATCTGGTGCCTAACCTAGAACATGCATTTCTCAATTTTGGTGCAAAATTAAGGACTTAAAATTATACAAAATGTATTTTACAGGAATAGCACAAACACAAAAAAGTGAATATACCATTTCAAAAGTTAATGATCCTATTATTATGGCAACGGATATTCCACTGCCAGGTTATTTGCAAGGAACGCATGCAAGAGATACAGTCATCTTGTCCCCCATCCACAATTCCATATTGAAAAATATTTGTAGCTATTTTGCTTCATGTGTTTTTGCATGTTCATGTTGTTACCCTATTTATATATGTATAACCTTCCTACATTTGACCCAAATTAACTGTTAAGACGGTATTGCGTGCATGATCACACATTCTGTACTCTACTCATGTGTGAACATGATACTCAGAAAATGATTGAATGGGTATTACCGAGTTCCCTGGGAAATGTATACATATACTGAATATTTAAAGTTTGGATCCTGTAATATGATTTACATGACGGTTTACCCAGAATATTTTACATTTAAAGTGTTTATGAGTAAGTTGCTTCTCTGGTCCGGGCACAGACAGAACAGTGGTGTCATTTCAGAATACTAGGGAATGAATGAGCAAATAAACATTAGACAGACCAACAAACAGAAACAGATATTTATTCCAAATTGCATTGTTTCAAATCATGTGAATGGCTGAACCATTTTTCTTTTTTCAAAAATAAAAATTTTGGGGGGCCAGCCTTATTTCAGCCATATGTCAGTTCGGTTTGGCAGAAAACTGATTTTGGGAAATGCTCCTCCTGTTTTTCCATGTATTGATAACTTTTTCTCACTTAACCCAAAAGGGCGTAAAAAATAGGCCAATCAGAGTACTGCAAAATAAATACAGGAAGTAAATATTATGTCTATATTTTGGAGTACACTGATGGTCAGGGCCAGATAAAGAGCTCAGTGGGCCTGGTGCTGACATTTATGATGGGCCTAATTACCAATGCTTATCGACCAAAAACACTAAACAGTCTTACCTCCCAAGCATCATGTATCTGATGGAGATAGTGCTGGAGGGAAACTCATAGGATGCAGCTATGAGAAAACACATACCTTATGCTAATCTCACGCTTTCACCTTTCAAATAAATCCATACTCCCTAACAGCAGTGTCCAGTGAAGCAGGAAGTCTATGGACAGAGTAAAAAGGGTGGGCCACTGATGCAAATCACTTAACCAGAGCTGCCGATAGGGGCGAACATTCTGGAACAGAGAAAAGGTGTATGTAGTGAGTGTAGAAGAAAGGGAACATGCCAACGTGTAAGTGAGACCAAAGTCAGCATTACCTAAACTAATTTAATTGTCAGCCAGTTCACACAAGTTTTGTTCCTCTACATCCCTCTTAAGTTTCCATACTTAGAGTATGTGAAAAGTAATTAGGGTTGCCACCTTTCTTGAAAAATAAATGCCGGCCTTACGAATTTGCCTAAATTTTTTTTTGTATGCATGACATCACATGATGTAAATCACAAGGAGAGACATAAGAGATAATTCTGTAAAATCACCCAAAAAACTATATAGAGTTTGATTCTACTGTATATATGGATTGCTCCCAGTGTCTCCCTGTCTGTCTCCAATGTCATCCAGTGTCCCAGTGTGCCTATGTATCAGTGTCTCCTAGTGTCCCCATGTCGCCCAGTGTTGCCTAGTCTCACAGTCTCTCAGTGTCCCTATGTCTCTCACCATCCCCATGTCTCACAGTTTCCCCTAGTGTCTCAGTGTCCCCAAGTGTCCCTATGTCTCCTAGTGTCCCCTAGTGTCTCCCAGTGTCTTAGTGTCCCCATGCCTCACAGTGTCCCATAGTGTCTCAGTGTCTCAGTGTCCCAAGGTCTCCCAGTGCCCCCTAGCCTCTCAGTGTCCCCAAGTGTCCCTATGTCTCCCAGTGTTCCGTAGTGTCCCAGTGTCCCCATGTCTCACAGTGTCCCTATGTCTTACAGTGTCCCCTAGTGTCTCAGTGTCCCCAGGTCTCCCAGTGCCCCCTAGTGTCTCCTAGTGTGCCCCACAACCCTTTTTTTTTTTTAATCAATGGGTCTATTCCATGGGCATGGGCCTGGAGCTGCAGTTCCATCAGCACCTATTTTAATCCGGCCCTGCTGATGGTAGCATTTCCCTGCTATTCGGTTCACTGACCAAGTGAGAAAATGTCATTAATAAAAGGAAAAACAGGAGGAGCAGATATATCTATTAAATATATAAATATAGATTTTTTATTATTAATCCTTTTTTTTTTCCCTCTGTTGTTTACTTCTCAATTAATCTATGAGTAAAAACAACATTTAGTGACTGTCCATAGTCATTGATCATCTTTTTTCCATCAAGCATCTCATTTTTGGTGCCCTCCAAAGTCTCCCTCCCCCTCCCTGCCCCCCCACCCCCCCTGCCAATGTGGTCTGTTTACCCAGGATTGGTTTTATTTGTTTTTTCATAATCTGCTGGTCATAATCGGTTTAGATTCATCAATTTCTACCATGGTACCCTCTTCCTAGGCCCTTAACATCATTGTTGATTGAATGCTCATGTGGACTTCCCTAAACACTGCCCCAGTCATAGGACCTAAGGAGGACTGCAATGCTCTTGTGCATCTCTATCATGATCCTGCAAGACTCGACACTGTAGGAGATAAGTAATGCGCTTGACATCCAATAACAGAGTTAAAAATGACATGGAACCTACAAATGTGGCATATCTATAACGTATCGCAATGCTGAAAAACACTAATAAAACACTTGTTGAAAAGAAAAATGACATGGAGTTTGACTGAAGCTCCACATTTTGCGATATGCCATTTATTCATAAGGAAAAGTAGCTCCAGTTTTTCCTTGTCTATAACTTTGCATGGAATCATTTTTTTTAACAAATAAATACAAAAACAAAAACAAAACTGAGCTGCCAGGGGACAAGAAGCAAAATGGTACAGTTTGAAAAAAATCAAACCAGTAGTTCACATTATTTCATAGCTTTTTGGACCATGAACTGCACCTTCTATTTTACCAGCTGGTGTGATCAGATGTTATCAGTTATCAAAAAAGTTAATTCACTGTACCTGCCTTAGCAATGAATGGGCATACTGCCTCGAGGTCTTACTAGCCATTTTTAAATGAGAAAGGGGCAAACATTAGCACCAGAACAATCTATTTTTACTTTAACTAACACGACATTCACACAGCACATAAATCACTTTATATCCGTTAAATCATTTTAACGTTGCTTTTTCCATAGCTGTTCATTACCCGATAACTTCTGGAGTATCTTCCCATGATGTACGCCCTTTAAGATCATTTTATAAACATCATGATCATTTAATTGATCTTGCCATCAAGATAATCGCACACAAGACTATTACTGATAAAAATCAGCTCTGGACACAATTAAGGTTTTCTGATTATGCTGTAAAACCTTTCAACTTGGCTTGACTAGACTAGCCCACTTTGAATCTAACAGACATTGTATATAGATTTTTGAAGTTTAGAAAGCCATGTCTAATGACAGGAAATTACTTGTTTATAACACACATTTGTAAGCTTTAGTAACACAGCTCACTGTTTCAGGGTATGTGTTAAATAACAGAATCCAATAGAGATAATATTTCCAAAATTTTGATAAAGATAGTTAAAGATGCTGGCAAAGACAAAATGGTATACTTTTTTATTTTTTTTATTTTTTTAATTAAAGTAAACTTTAAAAAAATATCCTGTTTATTTTACAAAGACATTGGTCAGTTTCTAAAATTGGATATTTATTTTTCTTTTATTTATAGTTACTAGGGTATAAATGAGACTGTCATTAATACTGAAGTATGTGTGTGAACCAGTAGTTTGAAATAAAGGTTGTATTAATCAAAGACCTGGCATGTTGCCCTAGGAGCTACATAGCATGGGAAGTATTTTTTTCTTTGACCTATTCTTAAACTAGGCAAATTATACCCCATATGAAACCATATGAAACCTGTATAAACTAATCGGAACTATCAGCTGAGGCCCCTAGCCAATGTGCTAGCTTAGGACAGCTAACTGATCTTTATGGCAGTACCGCTACTTATAAATGCATGTTCCAGGTGTGCCCCCAGTCCCCCATTTTATTAATTAGTTGTATATATTAACAAACTGGTATGTACTAAGCTACTATGACGGAATAAGAAAATAACATTTTATTGGCATGAACAATGTGGGAGGAAAGGTCTAGTCTAGAGAATAATAAAAAGATATTAATAAATAAAAGCGTTAGGTTCCTGCAGGACCTGGCCAACATAGGCCCAGACTGTGAGTCGTTCACAATCAACATTATCCATAAACAAAATAATATTCATTAATCAATAGGCAATATCTCTCTCTTTTTAGAGAGAGAAGGTAATTGCCCTACTGATTAATAGTAATCCACTTTCAGACTCTTTTTATTGCTATTGAGAAGATACCGTTGCCTGGAGTTAAAGGACCTTCAATGAGCATAATAACATATGCTCTAATTGTAATTATCTAATTCTTACATGATGTCCTCTGCCACTTACATTAAGTCACTATTACTATTAACCTAGGTCATGCAATTGTTTCATTAATCTCTCAGAAGTGCCAAATCCTCTAGAATTCAAACCTTTAGGTCACACGTCTATTTCTACAACAGACACATTGACCCACTGAGCTAATTTACCAGTTCTCTCATTTAGCATAAAATTATACTCCCACTAATTACAATATGTTTCAATACTACATTAGTATTGTATACATTGTATCTCATATTCAAAAAAGTATTGTTTAACAGCTACACCCTCTAAGGACTTTTTTTGGTTTACAAAATGTTGTTCAATAGTTTGGTTTAAACTGTACCTGATCATATGTGTGGGTTATTACCATGTTTAACGTACTTGTTGGCTTATGGTCTTGATTTGAGCTCTATGGTTGGAATATTGCATAATTATTCAGTGATGGAATAAAGGTTACTAGAGATCCAGAAAGCATTAAATGTCATATGTTTCCATATACACTGAGAGAGACAAGTTTGCTCAAAGTCATGATTTGATATTCTGAATTATGTCTTCTGCCACCAGACTAGTTAAAGGACCACTATAGACACCCAGACCACTTCAGCTTAATGAAGTGGTCTGGGTGCCTAGTCCAGCTAGGGTTAACCCTTTTTTTTTTATAAACATATCAGTTTCAGAGAAACTGCTATGTTTATAAATAGGTTAATCCAACCTCTAAATCCTCTAGTGGCTGTCTCATTGACAGCCGCTAGAGGCGTTTGCGTGCTTCTCACTGTGAAAATCAGTTATAAATGCTTTCCTATGAGACTGGCTGAATGCGCACGCAGCTCCTGCCGCGCATGCGCATTCAGCCGAAGAGGAGGATCGGAGGCGGAGAGGAGGAAGAGAGCTCCCCGCCCAGTGCTGGAGAAAGGTAAGATTTTAACCCCTTCCTCTCCCCAGAGCCCGGCAGGAGGGGGTCCCTGAGGGTGAGGGCACCCTCAGGGCACTATAGTGCCAGGAAAACGAGTAAGTTTTCCTGGCACTATAGTGGTCCTTTAAATCTGCTCCTTGACATTATTTACTACGTACAAAAAAATAATACGCATCTGAAACAGAGTTAATATTAAAGGATACTTAGGGAGATTCAATATAAATAATTGAGATGAGATAACACATACGTATATGAAATATCAGCAGTACAATAGAAGCTTTAATAATTATCTCGTTCAGTTTGTGGTTTATTTATGTTATTGCTAATTTGTGATTCTTAATTATGAAAACCGGTATGTTGTGTTTGGCACATTTGAATGGAAACAAAAGCTAAAACACAAGTTCCTTTCATTTAATATTTGGTAACATTCATATGAATGTGTTTCTGAAATGTAAAAATTAAACACTTTTATATTTAATATTATAAACAGTATCGGTGAAGTCATATTCTGCTGTATATTGCAGTTTGAGTGGCTTACGATAGGACATAGGTCATATAGAATTACTGGCCATTCATTTAATGAGCACGCTACACCGCTCCAAAGAGTCTGTTTGTGCATTCCACCCCTTGTTTATATAAAAAATGTGCTTTTACTATTAGTACTATCTGTAAGTTAACTGGACAGTCATGCATTTTTTGTTGTTGTTGTTTTGGCTCTATACTCAAGCACATTGGAGTTGCACGCTGTCGGTTTTAATTTCAGGGTATCTACATCAACTCTAAATGAATATCAACAACAGTCTCTTTTTTAATAAATACTATATTTACAATTATTTCAGGGGGCCAGAAATAATTAAATAGTTGGTTTCCCACCTCTTTCTTAGTTTAAAATGCTGGATTGCATCTAGATGCGATTCTATGTGTGGTATGTGTATTCCGAATCCGTTTCTGTTTTATTTCATCAAGAGAAGTAAATAAGTGTCAATGCCATGAAAGGAGACATGCTGACAATTCTGAATACATAGCCAAATATTAGGTATGTCAAAATCATTTGTGCTGCACATTGTAAGTGAGCGTGAATGATCTTGTGAGCTCAGCTGCAGCAATCAATCTTATAGCACAACAGTGGGCTAAGAAATCAAGGTTACAGTCATGTTAGAAGAACTCATATTCACCTCTTTAATAAATCACAAATAAACACTATGTAAATACTCGCTCTTTCATTTAACGGGTTACTCCAAGCATCATAACAATACAGCCCAGTGTATGGTTATGAGCCCTGGTGCTGTTCCCTGTTTTTTGGGCAAACCGTTGGTTTTCCCTCTTACCTGGTTCCTGGACACTGAGCCTCCTAGTTTGTCAGGTGATGTGCATGAGCTGCAGAATTCTGATGCTAGTCTCACCTGTCATTCATTGGCTGAGAGCATCAGCTAAACACTTTTAGCCAATGAATGACAAGCAGAAATTGACGTTAGCTAGCCTGAATTGACACCCTAATGATGCATCAGAGGTGGAGTTACACTAATGGCAGCAATATAAAATGTCCCTGTATGTGTAGCGTTTCAAAGTGAAACACTGCATATTTAGACTCCAAGCACTATCAACACTTCAAACACTGATGTTGTTATGGTGCTTGGAATAACCCTTTAACAATAACCAGGTGGAAGAACAAAGGATGGTGTATGAAAGGAATTACCCATCATCCAAAGCATACACTGTCTGAAGTGGTTTTATGGTTTTGGCATGTATGTAGAATTTTACAGCTCTGATATTTGGTCATTTTACCACAAATTACTAAAATGAAGCCTGCATTGTTTTGGTTTTCTGTGAAATTGCATAATATTTCAGGCAGTGTTTGATTTGGATTTTTCAAAGTAATTTTTCATTAAACATGTTATTAAGAGTATGAAAAAGACAAGTCAGTTTTATGAGTCATATCATGCATATTTTGTGTCATGCCCTCAACAAAAGATAGAGCATTGTTCAGCCTGTCTATTGGTCTAGACTGAATAAAATATTTTTTAAAGAGTTACTCCAACCACCATGACCACTTCTGCTTTTTGACGTGATCATGGTGGTAGGAGTCTGGTTGTACAGTGTTTCTCCTTAAAACGCTGCACATCCAAAGATATTTGTAATTGTGTGCAGGGGTCAAGTTGCACCCCCAGCACACATGACATTGGCAATCCAGATCTCTGTTCCGGGATGCCTAATTTCAATTCTGTGCATAATTTACATCTGTCATAAATTAAGCACAATATACCAATACAAAGTAGGCATGTGCACTGCTTTTGCACTTTTTATACTTGGAGCTGGATGGCCATCATTGTACTAGCTGGAGCGAATAAGGCATTGTTAGCCAATTTTGACAATTTGAAAGTTTGGAGGCATGCATATCTGTATTAATCACAATGATGTCAGAACCAGAATTTCCTAAAGTTGTATTAACTAGGGTATTATCTTCTGGTCTCAGTAAATGTCTATATTTTATTTTGGCAGATTATAAAAGGTGTGCAAGACTTCTAAGTAGGTTGGCGGTTAATCCCTCGTGCATGGATGGATAACACATTGACAAGGTGAGAATTACGTTTCTTATTTCCCCTAAATATTAGTGAGGTTTATGTAAAAAAGAGCGAGCCTTGCATTTCTATGAAGAGTCTGGGTTCTTTAAAGTCTCATTTCATGTACATCTCTAAGCAAATCTACAATGTGATACACAATATTTGTAACAGGTAAGCAAAAGAATAAATGGAAAGATTAAGTGTAACACAGAGATAAACTGTCCCCAAACAAACAGTTACATAGTTGCATAGGCTGAAAAGAGACATGTGTCCATCTAATTCAGCCTTCCTCTCACATTAGTTTTTTGCTGTTGATCCAAAAGAAGGCAAAAAAAAAAAACAGTTTGAAGCACTTCCAATATTGCAACAAACTAGGAAATAAATTCATTCTTGACCTTAGACAGTCAGATTTATCCTTCAATAAAAATTTTTTAGAGGCAATGGAATTCACTGTGCTAGTAAAAACTAGAAACATTTTTTCCTCTTGCTATTTTATGTTTATTAAAAGTGGCCATTCATGGGTGGATTTGTTGTTTCCGCACCTTCCCCTAGTTACAAGTGGGTGCAGGGAGCCCCATTTCAGATTTCAATCTGCTTGCAATGTATGGGGTGGGATTGAGGTCTCTAATCCAAGAATGCAATTTTAAATAGTTAAACCACCTATCAACAGACCTATTGGTGTTCAGATGGTTGTATCTTGGGATGTATCATACATAATAGTAAAACCAATACATTTATAAAGAAATACAAAAGTGCTGTAGATATTGGAAATACATCCTCCCTAAAATGGACTAGGCTGAGGTAATCACAAATAAATAAAAATGAATCAAAAAACGGCCTTGGTTTATTTTTGGATAGGCTTTCAAAATAATTTAATATTTTTGGATAAAATATTGAAATATCAAAAACAAATATATTAATATATCTCAAAAATCTAAATATTGATTTTGTTTTTCAAAATGCTAAAAAAAAAAAATGTAAACGCTTATCTAAAAATATTAGATAATTTGAAAAGCTTATCCAGAAATATTAAATTTAGGTCAATGTTTCTAGGCTTTTCTCCACTCTACCTTCTCTCTACTTTCTTAGTATGCACTGGTCACCTGACTTGTTCCCTGATGGTACATGTTTCTTTATTGACTGGAAACGCGTCTGCAGCTATGTTTATGCTTGACCTGACATTTATGTACTGGTGATTTGTCTCCATTTATTATCTGTACACCTTGCTGTATACTATTTTCTAATAATTTGTATTGACAAATGATTTAAAATATTTTACAAGAAACATTAAAAAAAGAAAAACAAAAGGGGGGATATTGACATATACTTTATTAATATATATATATATATATATATATATATATATATATATATATATATATATATATAATCAATCAATAAAGGAGCACTCCAAGGGATTTTGAAAAAATATTTATAATCCTGTGTTAAAAAATCAATACATCAACGTTTCGACCCAATAGGGTCTTTATCAAGATCTTATCATCTTGATAAAGACCCTATTGGGTCGAAACGTTGATGTATTGATTTTTTAACAATGGATTATAAATATTTTTTCAAAATCCTTCGGTGTGCTCCTTTATTGATTGGATATACTGAGTGGCTTGGAAGCACCCGGGTAATTTCTTTATTAATTGTTTTGATCAAAGGAAGAGTGCCAGAGTTTGCTTTTGTATGTATATATATATATATATATATATATATATATATTACTGGTTTGCTATATTTATGTATATATATATATATATATATATATATATATATAAAACGAGTTACCAACCTCATGCTGATGATTTGCATTAACAATGAAACAGCTGTCCATGAGTGGTTCACTGGCTTTGCATCTTTTCCTAAGTTGTGTTTCAAAGCTGTTGTGTAGAACAAACACAGACCCAAAGGAATCCATGTTTAAAATGGAACGAGGGAAAAATGTGATTCTTTGTTAAACTCATTTGCATATGCCCACCCAGAATCCTTTGTGGTAGTAACATCACTGCAAATTTGTGATTTCTGCGGGAAAATCAAGTCTTATGGCTTGACTGGTGTGCAGATTTTTGTATTGTTCTAACTATATATATAATCAAATTTATCTAGTTAAGATAATACACATATCTTGCACTCCATGTTCTATAAAGGTACTTGCCCGGTGCTCGTCAGGTACAATGTACAAAAAAGTAATCCAGATAGCACTCTCAGGTCTTGTAAAATAAAACTTAGCTTTTAATTAGCTTGTCATAAAAAAATCAACGTTTCAGTTTGTTATCCACAAACTTTCATCAGGACTCGATGAAAACTAAAAACTAAAATGCTGATTTGTTTTAATAACAAGCTCATTAAAAGCTGTTTTATTATACTAAGACCTGAGAGTGCTATCTGGATTACTTTATATATTTTTTATCTATCTGGAGTTCTATCTGGATTACTTTATATACTTAATTTTTTGTCAGCATAATATAACCAAGTAGCATAGAGATAACACTCCCAGGACTCCAAAGTTATTAAAAATAAAACTTAACTTTTATTTTCTTCAATTAAGAGATCAACATTTCAGTTTGTAACAACATTTCAGTTTGTAACAAACTGAAAAGTTGATCTCTTAATTGAAGAATTTTTTTTTTTTTTAATACCTTTGGAGTCCTGGGAGTGCTATCTCTATGCTACTTGGTTTTTTATATATATATATTGGAAAAAAATAAATTGAGCCCAATATGAGAATGTAGGGTTAAAGTTAGTAGAACTTCCAATTCTTGTATATTAGAATATTGCATCTTCTGGAGGCCATATCTTCAGAGAGACAGACAGGGGGAAAGTCAAAGACAGACTTCTAAAGTGCTATAAAGTCTGCTAATAAAAACAATTAAAAGTAAACTGAAAGTAATCAATATGTATAAAGCCTGTAGCCACGACAGGATAGGTGTCACATGATTTCCAAAAAAAACTAAACATTTTTTTAAGTAGTTAATAAAGTTTACAAAATTGACTTGACTAGTAAAAATAGGTTTTTTAAAATCTAAAAGGTTATCTGGAAATAAAGGAAGGAAAATTTCAGTGTACCACCTAGAATTATTTTTTTTACGAAGGGATTTATAGTAGTATTGTGCAACACTTAGACAGTGGTGACAGTGGTGGATCCAGAGCCTGATCTCGGGAGGGGCCCTTGTAGATTATTTAAATAAATAATCCAGACACAATAACCACTACAGCTCAGTGTAGTGGTTATGGTGTCAATAGTGCCGGGACCCCCTCCCAGAGTAAGTACCGTATTTATCGGCGTATAACACGCACCTCATTTTAAGAAGGAAATTTAAAAAAAAACAAACTTAAATTTCAAATAAAGAACTTCTTACCCCCTTCTTACTCCCCCCTCCCCCTCTTCTTACCCCCTCCCCCTCTTCTTACTCCCCCTCCCTCTTCTTACCCCCCTCTCTTACTCCCCCCTCCCCTCTTCTTCGCCTCCTCACTTGCCCCCATGCCACTCCCCCCTCCCCCTCTTCTTACCCCCCTTTCTTACCCCTCCCCCTCTTCTTACCCCCTCCCCTCTTCTTGCCCCCCTTTCTTACTCCCCCTCCCCCCTCTTCTTGCCCTCTCACCTTCTTGCTCCCCCTCCCCTCTTCTTACCCCCCTCCCTCTCTATTTGCACCCCCTTCTTACCCCTCCCCCCCTCTTCTTACCCCCACTCTCTTTTTACCCCCACTTTACCCTCCCCCCCAGTAGCGCGGGTCGTGAAGCTGCTCTGCTGTCCGCGGTGCCCAGCCGGAGTGATAGGAAGGTGCACGCTCAGTGTGCACCTTCCTGTCAGTCCGACCGGGTACAGGAAACAGAAACTCCTGTTCCGCGCGGAACAGGAGTTTCTGTTTCCTGTACCCGGTCGGACTGACAGGAAGGTGCACACTGAGCGTGCACCTTCCTATCACTCCGGCCGGGCACCGCGGACAGCAGAGCAGCTCGGCCACGCTACAGGGGAGGGGAGGTGAGAACCAACTGCAGCCGCCTGACCGCTCTTGACAGAGCGCTCAGGCGGCTGCAGCATTTAAAGGTCTGGCGTATAACACGCACCCATAATTTGCCCCCTATTTTCAGGGAGAAAAAGTGCGTGTTATACGCCGATAAATACGGTAGTCAAACCGTTTAAGAACAGTTTGACAACTTACCTGAGGTCTGCTGGAAAATGGGGCTGTAGTAGGGCATAGTAGCAGTGGTGTGTGTGAGTGGTGCAATGTGTAAGGGGTGCAGTGTGTGTGTGAGGGGGACAGTGTGTGAGCAGTGTGTGTGTTTGAAGGTTGTAGTGTGTAAGTGAGGGCGGCAGTGTATGTGTGGGACAGTATGTGTGTGTAACAGTTGCAGTGTGTGTGTGTGAGTATTGCAGTGTATGTGTGAGTGTGGGCAATGTGTGTGTATGGGGTGGCAGTGTGTGTGTATGGTGGGCAGTGTGTGTTTATGGGGGAGCAGTATGTGTGTATGGGGGAGCAGTATGTGTGTATGGGGGGCAGTGTGTGTGTATGGGGCCAGTGTGGGGGCAGTGTGTGTGTATGGGGCAGTGTGTGTGTGTGTATGGGGGCAGTGTGTGTGTATGGGGGGCAGTATGTGTGTATGGGGGGCAGTATGGGGGGCAGTGTGTGTGTGTATGGGGGGCAGTGTATGTGTGTAGAGTGTATGTGATAAGGGTAGTGGGGCTTTTTTTTTAAATAATATATATATTTTTATTTATTTAATTAAAATAAATATTTATGTCCCCCCTCCCTTCTTACCTTTACTGGTGGTCCGGTGGTGAATCCCTGGTGGTCCCAGTGGGGAGAGTGAACTCTAGCCCGCGCTCCAGGGCTAGAGTTCATGGTCCCAGTGGGGAGAGTGAACTCTAGCCCGCACTCCAGGGCTAGAGTTCACTCTCGCGAGATTTGGAGCGTTGCCGCAGTTACCACAGGCAGAGCTCCCGGGTCCTCTCTCCCTCCCCTGCCGGCTGTCAGCACAGTGCCTGCGGACTGGGGAGGGAGATCTCTGATCTCCCCTCCGGTGCACAGGCACATTGCAGAGCTAGCACCTGCATGTGCTGGCAGGGGAGAGGGAGAACGTAGGTTTTCTCGGGGGGGGAGGGGGGGCAATTGCCCTGTTGCCCCCCCCCCCCGGATCTGCCACTGAGTGGTGATGTAGTGTTAGATTTATACAGTGTGAGAATTCAAGGATGCTTGGGACAGACAAACTGATGTCCTGAGAAAACACAATGAAAATACAGGAAACAAGCTTGCTGGATGGGCCAGTGATATTTTATTTAGCACGTGTGTTCAAACTTTTGTATAAAAAATATATTTTTGCATGAAAATAAAATTGGTTTTAAAAAATCGAAAAAAAAAACCTGTTAGCATAGCGTCAAAAGATCGATAACATGTTAGCCGTTAAAAGTAATTATTTCTGCCCCACTATTTATAGCAAAAATGATGTATTTCAATTTGTCTTGCATCAACTTTCTAACTATTTTACAGCTTTAGCTTTTTCTTTTCTTTTTAGTTTATTTATTTATTTTGACAACGTGTGTAACTCCATTCCATGCAATCATTTTAGCAATGAAGGGGTTATAAAACATATAGTTGAAGAACACCTACGCTCTCTCTTTCGAACAGCATATATCCAATGATCTGACTAATGCTAAATCTGTGTGTGCTTCACAAAACTGGGATCTGCACAGTTATCTGACGTAATAATTGTCAATGCATTTCCAATTAATGCAAAGCCCATAGAGAAAAAAGAACAGGTATGATGTGGATCTCAAATAAGCCACTAGGAATTTTGTAAAATTGCCATTGTGATCTCACTGCAGCACTATTATAAAACAGTAAGATGTTACTTATATTATGGATTGTATGAATCATCATGTAAAATCAGATAATGCACTAGCTGGGATAACTCCAGGACTCTGCATTTGTATAATAAAGTCCACTTAACATTCATCGACATTCCATTTCTGCGGTTGTTGTATTGTTTTATTGCACTAGGGGAATCATATGGAAATATTCTATACCAACATATTTAAAAATAAATGTATACTGTGTGTATTTTGTAACATATGTATAAATAAAAATATGTTGTTATAAATTATTCTAAAATACAGCAAGGACAATAACCATTTTTGACCCAACACAGTTATAAATGAATATACATATGACCTATATTTTGGATATTGTTAAAAGAAAACAAGGTATACTTCTATCCAAGCGGATAGCATGTTTTTGTTTTTTTTTGATGATCATGAAACAACATGGTAGCCAGATTGTAGTCCATAGCTGCTGCTGAGTTCATTGTGTACAATCATTTCTTTAATGTACACAATTTTGTCCGATGCATGATGTGCTCCCAAAGCCATCCCAATGAAGACCAGTTTGATTTCATGGATACTATCCTCTGGACACCATGAATTACTGTAAGATATGGTAGATCTCCATCCCAGAGATGAGCTACAAACCATTTGGAGAAATAACATACTTTAGGAAAAATATTGTGATTAGATAGCACCAGGGAAATAATGTATAATTATGCATAATACTGTTTAAAAGCGGACTGTCTCTTCTCAAAATATTTTACTATTTTATTTACTTATCCCCTATTTTTAACAAATATATGTTTATTTTCACATAAGTACAAATGTTCATCCTATATATGAAGGTCCTTGGGTAGGATTATCCAATGTCTTTTGCATCTGAACACTCACTATCTAGGATTAATTACTACATTTCTTAAAGTGCCCGGATACAAGAACTGTTAAAAATAAATAAATATATAAACAAATCTTTAGACTGTTTTCGTTTTGTATTCTACAATTTGTAGAAATATTGCAACGTAAACTGGTTACTAGAAATTCATGTATTCGTTTGGAGCATTTTTCTATTTTGGACAAATATACCAAGTAACAATTTTAAATCAGAATTGATTTTGCAGCTATATGGCTGAATATATATATATATATATATTGTGTGTATATGTACAAATATGTAATTATATATATATATATATAGCCATATATATAATGTTACAGTACAGTATATATATTTAATGTTACAGTACAGTATATAATTTATAAATGTGGATTAACGAAATGCAAACATTTGCAGGAGTTTTATAAGACTAGAAAATATAATCTTTGTAAGACAAAAAGAACCTGAATATTTATCGAATAATCCCATTGGTCCTGTGTGTCTAGCCAAATATAAATTTAAAAAAGAAACTTTCTTTTGTTGAACTCTTTTCACTTTTTCCTTTTTCATAGTGAAATTAGAAAGATTGCAGCAGTAAAATGCTATACTTGATCATTATTCTTTTTTCAAGAATATCATCCATTTTCAGGCCAAGTTTTGGTCTCCAATTCATCTGTTTCCCTAATTATAAGCAACCCAAGGTCAAACGGTCATTGACATAAACGATTAGAAAGTTTAATATTAATAATTCTGTTATGGCTCAGTACTGAGTAATACCATTAATAAGTAATGTCCAAACACTAAATGGAATTCTAAAATGTATGTGGGTTTGAAATTTGTATGCATCATCTGTGATAAACCATGATGTCGTTTGGCTAAATAGTATCACCAAGTACAGTTACATTTAGGGATACTCTCAAAGGCAGGCTTCCCCAAACTCCGACCCTCCAGATGTTACTGAATTATAACTCCCATAATTCTAAGCCTATCTATTTCATTCATAGAATCATGGGAGTTGTAGTTCAGCAACATCTGGAGGGCTGGAGTTTGGGGAAATCTGCTCTAAGGGCTCGAAGACATGATGTTCCATTGGATGCTTTGATTTGAACATTAATGACATTTCTATTATCTTTGACCTTCAATTATTTAAATGGCTAGAAAGGTATATTTTAAAGTTTTAGCAATTATTTACTGCCTGGATCCTTTATATCCTTATTTTACGTTCTAGATAAAACATCTTAGTTTGCTGTAAAGGACCAATGTATGTCAACCTAGGCAATGTATATAGGAGTGTTAAATATATATCGGGTCATCTGGGTTTCTGTTCTAGATTAAAATTACATCACTACCATCATATTGCTGGATGGGAAGTATTGTAAATGCCTAAATCTGATTATTTGGACAGCATTTATGTTGGTCTTTTTAGCCTTTTACAGATGTTGTCAAAGTATATCCTCCATCGTTGCCAGGCAACACCACACCCTCTGCTAAACTGGACTGAACACTATTAATTATTAATAGTAATTACCTAAGTAGTATTAACCCCTTTACTTCATTATAACACTCCAGCACATTCTACGCAATACGTTTCCAGTTTTGTATCACTGAATTATTCCAAACTCAATTTTTAGCTAAATAATTTAGTGATGTTAAATTATTGACTATGCAAACATTAAATATGTACATTATTATTTTAATATTAATATTACACTCTTTTATTAAATATGAGGGCTAAAGGCAAATTACTGAATATTCTTCAGACACAACTTCTGACTTTTTTTTTTTTCTGAGTAAGGGCTTCTCTCCGAAATGAGCAATTTCAAGTATGTGCACATATTTTTCTATTTGTTGTCGTTTTTTTTTTTTTAAAGGGACACTGTATCCCCAAAGCACTTTAGTTTGTGCTCTATTTGTGAAGAGTGGCCCTCTTTTTTTTTTCATTTAAAAAAAATGTGCAGATTTCAATTGAAATTGGCATGTTTCTGCACCTTTCTTTCAAGCACATAACAGTTTCTGTTACTTCATGGTTGTTTAACTCATTAGAGCTAAACTCAAAAGACAGGCAATTACTCAGATCACCTGCTTTGCAAAAACTTCTCATAAAACTAACTTAGACACAAAAGTCTATGCCGGAGAAGAAGGGAATGGCTTGCAAAGGCTGCAGACAAGAGAACTGCAGATTTTGCAAGCTGTTTTTAGATATACTCTCAATGTAAAAATACATAATTAAAGGAATGTGTGTTTTCATTTGGGGTCATTCTACTAAACTTTTTTTGTTTTATTTTGTTTTTATTTTGGCAGTGGTGTGTCCCTTTAAATTAAAATGCTATATTTATTAACATGTGAAGCACGGGTAGAACATAACCATAGTGGAATACCATAGTTTCATTTCAGCATGCAACTACAGGAGATAAAGGTGTATGAATAGAAATCATACGTTCATATCTCCTCATTCATCAAATAATTATTAGTTCTTCCATGAGCACAGTACCAAATGTGGGAGGTTATTAGCTCATATTTTTCAGAAAATGTACAACCCACAAATTATGGATTTGTCTGGGATTCCCCAACACCTTTTTTTCATGGGTTTCACCCTTATTGGCCAAAATATGACAACATCTAGAATGAAAATAGCCAGGATCCTTTGTCTTCCGTACCATACTTTATGATGGTCATCCCGTAACTAAACCTAAAGTTTGCCAATTCTTGTAATTAATGGAAAAAGCACAAATTCCAACCTTATTCTAGCAAGTCATATCTAGCATGTAAGCTCATTGAGCAGGGCCCTCAACCCCTCTGTTCCTGTGCGTCCATTTGTCTAGTTACAATTACGTGTCTGTTAGTCCACCCATTGTACAGCGCTACAGAATTTGCTGGCGCTAAATAAATACTCACATAATAATAATAATAACAACAATATTCCACTACTACCAAAGAGCCAATGCACTGTCAGATATACACCTAGATCAGGCCTAAATATGAATCTTGAGCTCATTGTGAAGGTCTAGGCAATTTGTCTGTCACTTGCATTTATCACACATTTTTTTTTCCATCTAAATGAAATGATGATTAGATACTAGAGAGCAGGTAGTTCTGGAAAGGGACAGCTGTCCCGGAGCCAGGGGCAACTCCAGAGCCCCAGTTTAGAAAAGTCATTAATGAATGCTGTGTCAGATTTTACCTTTAGAAAATGGACATATACATTTGCACACTTATACAGACACACACTTAAAAACCTAGGTACTGTGATAAACACCAACACCTAGACCCCCACATACATATGACCAAAGACAAATATATACACACAGACAGAGACAACCACACAGACATATTCAACCACACAGATATACACAGATTCATATATAAAAACATATCTACAGGCATTTGATGGAGAGGTCATTCATTCTGGCCATGTTGCTAGCCAGACATAAATGTGCCCGACTTCTCAGGGGGAACATTTGCCCTGATGCTCCCCCTTGGATCCTCAGATGCCAGGAATATGACCAAAGTCTTTTTTTTTCTTCACAAGTGTTCCCATACTCTTCTTTACTCATGCAAGGAGAGACTAAACAGGTGGAGCTTGGCTGAATCTTGGGCAAAACCTGGATATATTTGAGTATCTAAATATTGAATATACTAATCCTACAAAAGTTTAAATCACAATTAAAAGTTCCCATGTGTCTGGAATGTTTTTTTAAAGCTCCCCAGTTAATGTAGAAAGGCTCAGGTAATGAGACGATGGTGTGATGCATTACTTTGCAAACATGTCATCATAGAGAGGTAGCAGGCATGTAATCAATTGCTTCTTTGATTAATTAGACTAGAGGTTAAGAGCAGTGATGTGCAGTTCAGAGTTACTAAACACTTTCAAATTAACCAAGAAGAGAAGTGAATAAGAAATAATGTATATCATGTAATTATGCTAATTTAATATTTCAACATATATTTTTTTCATATGTAGGGAAATTATCATTGCCTATGAAGCAGAGCATTATCTTATTATCCATACTTTTTATATACCAGAATTTTCTCTTGGGTATTTCGTAATATAGTCCTTCACAGCTATTGTTTCCTGTAAAGAAAAGGATAGTTATAGGTTTTTAAAAAATTAATGTTTAAAAATTTTCTTTTGTAAAGTATATTAAGATTGTTTTCCTATTTTGCAATGCAAAGTAAGGATGTACTTGAAAAGTGTGTGTAATTGAAGACTTGGAGGACTTCAAAGGTTTCTAGCAAAAGGAGATTATAAACAAACAGCAAAACAGTGCTCTGACAAATGCAAACTTGAACAAAGTTAGACCTCCAGTCTGAGTGCAACAGCACCACAGCATGCAGTGGCCCTGAGAGGTACTGCACCAGACTAAAAAAACACGAGATTTCCTATGGAATTATTGCACATACAGGGTTCTTCACTAAGGTAAGAAAAGTCCGGAATTCAAAATGAATCAAAATTTTAGAGCAAAATAGTCAAACTGAAGGCATAGCTGACTTAAGGAACTTTTCCAATTTGGGCAATTTGAAATCCACTCTGAATTTACTTGGAATTCCCAACAATTCTCACTTTAGCGAATAACCCAGATACATTTTTTAACTATTATAGTACATTATCATTAATTTTTTTTTTTTTGTATTCCAATGCATTTAGAATGCCAGAGATAGCTTGTCCCTTTCACTCTATTTGCTGTGGAATGCAAGTTTCACCACGCTCACTAAAACACTGACAGGGATATTTACTAAAGTTAGAATTGTTGTGAATTCAAAAAATAAAATATGGGGGACGGAGCCTGACCGCAGAGCCGCACGGACGCATCCGACACGAGCTACGGCCCGGCGGGGGAATCCAGGGGGAATAAGCGGTGGCTATCCAGCCCAAAACTACCCAAGGGTGCACCACCCACATCGGGGGTGCCCCGCTGTACCCAACAACACCACCCCGGGGCCTGCCGAAGTCAGGAGCGCCAAGATTCAAATGCGGCCTACTGGGGCTGAAGCAGAGGGGAGACGGCCGCTCTCCTCGGCGCAAAAGCCCACAAGCGACCTCACCTCAGCCTACCCCCCCCTCTGAACCGGTGGGGGATATCCCGGTCCCCACTGGACATGCAGACCAGTATGGAAAACGAGCAAGCCAGCTACACAAAATGGTGGGGCAACAAACCTAGAAGGACCAGCCAAAATGGCCGTCCAGCATGAACCCAGAAAGCGGAACACCCACTCTAAACCACATATATCCCCCATGGAAATCTTTGACTAGCTCTGCGCAGGCCTCAGGGCAGCTCTACGCAGCCAAAGGGCAACCCACCGCCAAGCTGACTTAACGTGGCCTCGTGGATACATCCAGCAGCGCGACACAGCTCCTACAGGCAGGTACCCTGAGCCTCCAAAATGGCCATCTGGCAGCGCAGGTACCGGTGGGCCTCGAGGCGGGTTACAAAACAAGCAACGTACGCAAATATCCTTCCCGACCAAACTCCTGGCTACCAGCGCAGCACTAAGCACCTCTTCCTAGCCAATGCTGCATCACAGGTGGCTGCACGGCTGCACACCATGAGGAGACTTACCGGGGCTGACCCCCGAAATGGAGATACTGGGCCCTGAGGCCGCAACAAAGGGACTAGCAACAACATCATGCGTGACATACCAGCGCTGGGCATAGGCTGAGGTGCCTACTATACTGCCTCACAAGGGTATTTATTGCCTGGACTGCTCCAATTGAATACCCAGACCCAGAAGCCCCATACGTATCCCAAGTGGACTATACTACCATATCTTCACGGACTTGCGGTAAAAATGACTGACAATGCTGGAACTCGCTCCTGATGATCAAATGTCTAGTTAATCCTTAACAAAGCAGTTAACACTCATGTTTAAAATGTACAGCGATGTTACCTTACACTGTAGGCAAGATAAAGCATTGTTTTTTGTTCTTTAGTACCTCACAGCCTATACATGAGCAGCACAAACAGTCTAGGCATCACACACAAGCCAGCTACTGCTACACTGCAAAACAAGATACCACTTTACAACTACACTACTAGAGCTAACCCGACATTGTCAAGCAACAACTATCTTATCTTACTTTACGTTGACATTAGCACTGTTTAGCCAAGCTTGATATATATATACATAAAAAATGTGCAAACTATCATGCCACTACCTAACTTTTGTTAACACGCTGTTGTGGCGGATGTTGAAACCCTGTAACCACCTGCACAACAAAAATAAAGAATTGAAAAAAAGACATTTTTACAAAAAAAAACTTAAATGAACGCATGACCCATTTCCCATTCTGAGTTAATTCCTGTGTGGTTTTTATGCAGACAATGTAACTAGCCAACATCATTTTATTTAATTGTTTACTCCCTACATGAGATTATTATTTCTTTTTGTTTGATATCCTGGAATTTACATTAATCAATAGCTTTTTCCTGTTTGTGGAAGTGACAAAGTTATAAGAAATTTAGTTTCTTTGTCACTACTGGTGAGGTAGCTCAGTGGCCTAATGCATCATCAGTAGAATCTGTTCTACCCTGGCAGGGTTGACTCAGCCTTTCATCCTTCCGAGGTAGATAAAATGAGTACCATTAAATTTGGTAATAGTAACAACCCCTGGATGTTGGGCAAAAGTTACATCCCCAGGACATACTTGAAAACCAGAGCAATCTGAGTGTACCTTTCCTGGTTAAATACTTTATTATTATTTGTCAGTAACAGAATAGAGGCGCTCAATTATTTGTGACTTCAGCAAACATGTCTGTCCTACCTATTGTGTTTTACAACACACACAAGTAATAAAATATACCTCGTTATCTGGATAACATGTAGGTATACTATAAAACTATTATGTATGGCTGCGATACAATTATCTGTATTCCAGATATATGAGCAATAAATTAACTTTTGTTTACTCGTTTGAAATGAGCACACCTTGAAATCCAGAAAGGGTTATGTTATTTTTAGATGAAAAAAAAAAACCTTGGAACAGAAACAAATTTTTATTTATTTTTTTAACTCTTGTTTATTAGTGGTTTGAATCAATACATTACATATTCCGTTACAATTAGCCATCTTTTGTGTACAAAGCAACAACATGCATAATTCGGTTACAATACATCATAAAAAAGGTCATAGAAACCAACAAAGTAAAAAAGGTAATAAAGGTGTATACAACCAGAAATAAAAAGGGGAAAACAGTGAATATTGTTGTGCTGGGTATATAATTTATAAAGGAAGGAGAATCAGTAACACAATAATATGTGGGTCACTCATTATTACAGGATATTATCATATCTGAAATCTGTTGGTGGTACCCTTTGGTATCTGTTTGCTTCTACCAACCTCTCTTTCCAACTAAAACAATATTATTATTTTTCAATGTTTAAACATGTATCCCATAACTCCCAAGCTTTTGAATTAGTTCCGTATGGGCAGAGTAAAGTTGACAGCGCTCTGTCATAGGAGCCTTCGTTGATGCTTGGTCTATCTAGGTTGCCAGTGTAGGTACTGAGAGTGAGGCCCAGTTCCATGCTAGTCATGTTAGTGTTTCTATTAGAATATGAAACCATGATTTTGCTATGTGTTTGTGGTTCCCATTTGGAAACACAAATAGTAAAAAAAACATTCTGGTGTTTGAGGGAGTTCTGTGTTTGTGGCTTTTCTAAATGTGTTTGGCACCACATCCCAGAATGGGGCCAATCTGGACCATGTCCTCAATATATGTAAAGTATCATCTCTTGCTACTCTACATCTTCAGTATTGGTCTGAATATTTTGAGTGTATTTGGAAAAAGTAAAGAAAAAAGTTACTTGCGACTAGTCCAAATCCCCATACATATGTATATAAATGGAGGTTTTTAGTTCCACTCCAATGGCCAGTAGATGTAAGCACACCTGTCACATCAAGGCAAACCTCTTAGGTGGTTCCTACACTAACAATTCACATTGCTTGCTTCAGCTTCAGGCAAAAAAATATCTAATGTGACAGAGAGGGGCCTTTTTTTTAACCCCTACACATTTATTAACCCTTAAAGGGACACTCCAGGCACCCAGACCACTTCTGCCCATTGGAGTGGTCTGGGTGCCAATTTCCACAACCCTTAACCCTGCAGCTGTAATTATTGCAGTTTTCATAAACTGCAATAATTACATTGCAGGGTTAACTATAGCCACTAGAGGGCACTTTCTTGGTTTCTAGCACAGGTTTTCTGTGCTAGAGCATCGCTGGACGTCCTCACGCTATGTGAGGACCTCCTGCGTCGCTCAATTCCCCATAGGAAAGCATTGAAAGCATTTTCAATGCTTTCCTATGGAGAGGTCTAATGCGCGCGCATGCGCGGCATTGCCACGCATGCGCATTAGGTCTCCCCCGGCGGCGGCCGCACGTGCGCAATCGGTCTCCCCCGCCAGATGACGTCGGCGGGGGAGGAGCGTAGGCGGACCCGAAACCACCACCAAGGGACATCGGCGGGGTTCTCAGGTAAGTCACTGAAGGGGTTGCCTACATGTTTTCCTGGCACTGGAGTGTCCCTTTAATAGTGAACACATGGGATGGGTGGCAGCACTGTAACATAGCTGTGTGATACAAAAGCAAATACAAATACACAAAAATAATCAAACCTCCACTAGTTCTGGGCGACAGCAATGGCCTCAACGTGGTACGTGGGCTTACATCTAATGGTCACTAGAGTGGAGTGGACTATTTGGGAAAGTGTCTTTGGCAACACATTTCATCTATGATGTAGAAGATAAACTTAAAGGAAAACAATTAAAATATATATTTAAACATTAACTTTAAAACACTATTAAACGTACCTTTTTGCAGCATTGCAGTAACCTCCTCAGTGCAGCTGATACTCCTCTGTTAAGTACATCAAGATTGGTGAAATGTGTCCAATCAAATACTTATAGAGAAGTGATCCACCAATCTAACGTTTCTTTTGATGGAGGAAAATTGAATCCAAAACTTATCTTAGAGAAGCATTAGATTTGCACAGCATTAACGATCTGCAAACATTGCATGCTGATATTGCATGTTAAATAGTTTCAGTACTTGACTCTATATTAGTCTGAAGCCAGATCTGACACTGTGACACCAGGTAAACATAGAAATTGCAAAACGCAAGAACTAGACTTCTGTACTGTGGGAAAATTTGTTTTCTCCTAACCGCTTCGTCTAAAGATAAAAAAAATTGAGGATGCCAAAATTGTGGCCGTGTTGTACTTCAGCTTGTACGAATATCATTCACCGAATAGAATCCAGAAAAAAAGTTTGGGCAAGCCAGAATAAGTGGGGAGAAAAGCATCTACTAGTGAGCTGTAGTGGTGAATTGGCCGTAATGATATGTAACGTAGTTATGAATTGAAATCATGATGGCAAAAGTAAGGCTAAAATATTAAAGTTAACCAGCGCTGTTTTTATAATGAAGTTGGAGGATCTCTCCATATCTTGAAATTTAGCCTTAATCTTGCTAGTCAGATACCAGTTAGTAACATTTTGGAATTTGGTGAATAAACCTGTTAGTATTTTATGAGGATGTACGGTTTCACTAAAAAAATATTCAGAGGCACTGCTTTATTTTTCATGAAAGAAGGTTGGCCAAACAAGAATTTGCCAATTGCATGGACTGTTTATGAGGAATTGCACTTATTTCAAAGTATGACTAATATGTGAGAAATAGCAAGGCCGAGAAGTACAAATATCTAACATCTTCCATAACGCGTAAAGAACTGTTTCACTCTCAGTTAATGGTGTGTGTAAGGCTTTCAAGGACGTTTAGCCATTTTGGAGGGTTTGGGGAGAAAAAAATAAATTAAATAACTTTGACTTCGACAGTCTGGGCATACACATGGTAGAAAGGGGAGGGTAAACTATGTTCCTGCCTTAGTGCAAGTGGGTCAATCTAGGTGACTGCACTATTTAGTCACCCTTGCAAATGAGTGTGCATGTCAGTGACAAAATCAACATGCTAATCAGTCCTGCTGATAACACAGATTTCCTGTATCACATTCATCTTACTGATTGAGAAACTGCATTAGATAGAAGTGAATTAATGCAATAGTTTTCATTAGTGATCAGGTTTTTCAAGCAGGTCATTCTCACGTACTATGATTATACTATTTTTATTAATGCAAACATTTGGCAATTGTGGAACAAATTTGTTAATCACCGTGCAAACCAGGCAGTAGTGACAATAATCGGTGCAAAGTTTGCTCTTTGTGGTATATTCACTAAACAGTGAATTGTCGTGAATTTAAAACCAAATTGCAAAAGTCAGGCAAAAAGTGCTGCTTTGAAAAAAATCCTCTAACTACACAGCGCTAATCACGGCTTGGCTATTTTATGCTTAAATAGTTAAATTCAGTTTTCAGTTCACTATAATTTTCTGTTTAGTGTATAAACCCATGTGGCACAGAATTGTGTTTGTTACAACTTGAGAAATGTGTCCCGTGTTGTATATAGCCTTGTTCTCTGTCAATAAAATAAAATTAAAAATCAAAACATGATACCCATGTCCAAATTTTGCTTGTTCTCAAAAGTTGCCAGGATTTCAAAAGTCTGAACAAAGAGAAACATTTGGAAATATTCGACCCAAATTCCATTACATAGCTTTGAATTCCATTTAAAAATAAACACACATGTAAACAATATACTACAATTAAAATGCATGTTTTATTGATACTGCTAGACTGTGCCAGTATCAAAACATATAGCAAAAGCACTACATAGATATGAACTCAGCAGCTCTAATACATATTTTGCCAAACTGGTATGTATTTTAATTAGCAGATGTTCAAGTCAGGATTAAACTCTGAATAAAATTTAAAGTTGACAGTATTGATCAATTTGATGGATTGGCATGCAATGAAGTATTATTTGCCTTTCAAATATTGGCTCAGAGTAACTTTTTTCTTCCGTATTTCTTAAATAACATAGGATTTCTGACTTTAGTTAGTAGGCAACATATTCAAATTTATGTTTATATGGCAAGTCTTCACCTCCTTTACATTACATGATAATAATTAACGGAACACTCCCAGCACTGTAGCCATTGAAACCCCCTGTAGTGATTATAGTGCCAAGTGTGCCATGTTGCCATATTACATTAAGTTGTCAAACCATTTCAGAATGCTTTGATAACTAACCTGGATCGCACCTGGTGACTACCACAGAACTAACCTCTCGTGCCAGTGAGCGATGCCTTGCACTACTGGGCTTAACTCAGTGGCTGAGCTTCATACTGTAAAAAAGGTGGTAGCAGATGATAGGCAGACCCAAGTTAAGTTACTTAGTCTACTTGCCCACAATAACCACTACAGCAGCCTCTACAGTCACTTGAAGTGTTACTTTAATATGTTGAATTAGCAAAATTATTCAAACTATATCACTGCTGAGTGCTTAGCAAAAATAAAAAAAATGATATCTAATTATTTAGCACATAAACACTCTTTCAACCATAATTCATAGATAAACGCACCCACACTTATTATACGTCATTTTGTTTGGAAGAAATATGGCTCTCATTGTTTGTGATTAAGTGGCTACGAAAAAAGACTGGACATACCCCATTTGTAATACCTTGGGTAATTCTCATTCCTGGGGTACCATACAGTCTCAAAGGCAACATAACCAATCTGGCGAATTTCAGTGTAAAAAAGCAGAAATGCAAGCCTTGTATTTGACTCTGTGACCTTTAAAAACTCCAAAAAACCTGTACATGGGGGGTACTGTTATACTCGGGAGACTTTGCTGAACACAAATATTAGTGTTTCAGAACAGTAAAAAGTATCACAACAATGATATTGTTGGTGAAAGTGCCGTTTGTGTGTGAAAAATGCAAAAAATGGCCCTTACAAGGCTTGTGAACCAAATTCTGTGGACTTTATGCCTGGGTTGTCAGGCAGGTCCCTCAAATCATAATTAATAAAATTACTTAAGTGAAAATATTACATAAATATATACGTAGAATTTAAATATATATATATATATATACATATGTGTATTTATATATTTATATATATATATATATATGGATTTTTAAAATTTATTTTCATTTATATGTAGATTTGGATATAGAGATATATACATATATATTTACGTATAGAGTTATATATATAAATTTGTTCTAAGTGTATTTTGATATCAATATATATATATTTTTTTGTAAATCTCTTTTTATTGAAGTTTTTTCAAATGTTTCGTAGAAAATTATGAAAATAAATGTGTAGAAACTCGCAGGTTTCAAGTAAACAGCATAACAGTAGGTCAATCAAGATGCACAGATCTCCTAGTTAACAGTACAAAAGGAGACACGCAGGTCTCTAGACAAACTGGGTGATGAACATATAACATGAAGATATTTTGTATTGATTTATACTAACAGGTGGGTTACTCTCCTAATGCAGCCTGTCTATTTGCGGTCGGTGCATATTCCTTTGTCTGGACCTGCAGTTATAAGTTGGTGGTCAGGTGATATGAACTGCTAGGTTTGGGCATGTAGGACTTCTTTATTTAGTTGTTCTTGTTAATGTTGTTGGGATAGGGCCGCTTCAAATTATATATGAAGGGCGCTGGTGTCTCTTTGCTTTGCGTGTTTTATGTGTCTGGTGGTGTGGTGTCGGGTCGTGGTGCAGGTGGTCATTGCGTGGTGGTCGTGTGTGTATTTCAAGGTTTCTGGGGTCGAGTCACTAGTGTCCTCTCTTGTGTTGGCCTTTCTGTCACTCATATGGGGGGGGTCGTTTGTGTATTTGTGGCGTGTGTGTGTCCTATACCTTTTCAGAGCACCTGTGTTCCCTAGTCATGCGTGCGTTTTCAGAGGCTTGGGATTGTGTTACCCCGTGTCCCGGCTTTTGGGACCCCTGCATTCCTGTGGTGTGTGTGTTGTGCTGTGTCTAATGGTTCTGAAATGACCTTGTTTCCTTGGTACGCCGGTCTGGTGGAGACGGTATTTTGTGTCTGGGTCTTGGAGTGGCTGTGCAGTGTGTGGTGTTTGATCTACGGGTCTTGGGTCGCTCTGGTTGATGGTGTGGCTATCCCATCTCTGGGCCTGTGGGTGTGGGTTTGTGAGTCCATATTAATGTGTGTGTGTCCTCCATGTGTGTGTGCCTTTTGCTGGTTCCTTGGTTCGTGATGGTCTGGAGGTGTTATGCGTCGACCCCTTTATCCCCCGTCTCCCTCTATTTCCCCCGATCACGACAGTGGATCGGGTACTGTCCCTTGATCATTTCCAGTGGTCTTAGCGTCAGGCTTAGTCCCCCTGCCGGTCAAGTGGCTGGCTGCTCCGTGATAGTCATATCGTCTAGCGTTAGTGTGTGTCCCCATTGCTCCCCCCATGTCCGCCGGATCGGTGCGTGGGGTCGAGCTGTCTTCCCTTTGCCGCCCGGCAAAAACTCAAACCACGGGCCCCACTGCTCAGTATATTTTTCCCTCTGTCCCATGAGGGATGCCCTCACATTCTCCGCGGAGCGAATCTCCTACACTCAGTCGTACCATTGGGTTAGTGTCGGGGCCTACGTCTGTTTCCACATTGCGGGTACGAGTGCCTTGGCAGCGTCCAGCAAATGTCTCCATATGGATTTTTTATATTGTGAGATTGGCCTTGGTGTCGAATGTAGCAGGTATTGTTCCATATTTAGTGGGAACATTTCCCATAGGATCTCTGCAATTTTTTCTCTGACCTGATTCCAGAATGGCTTTATGTTCGGGCAGTCCCACCAATTGTGTCTCAGAGTGCCCTCCTGCATCTCCAGCATGTGTCCGGGATGCTGGGGAATATCCTATGTAGGCGTGATGGTGTTTTGTACCACTGGGAAAGGAGTTTGTGGTTGACTTCTTGGTATCAGGAACTCACTGAGGATTTATGGTGTAGGATTAGTATTTTTGCCCACTGGTTCGGTGTGAATTCGTGGTCTGTGATGTGTTCCCATTGTCTCTTGAATGTGAGTATTTCTGTGTCACACGTGAGGATGTATTGGTAAAGATAGGAGATTGCTTTATTGATATTCTTTTTGGTTTGGCATAGGTTCTTGAATGACGTTAGGGCCCTGTATAAGGCAGCTCTGTCACGGAGTGAGTTGTAGAAATGTCGCAGTTGGGTATATCGGAAAGATTGCTGGAAGGTTGGGGTTCGAGTATTGGTGAGTTCGGAAAGTGGTTTTAGGCCGGTATCGTCCAGGACGTTGCGGAGTGGTATGTATTCTTGGTCTCCTAATATTCTCCAGGCTCTGGCAGTGAGGCCACCCCCTATTGATTGGTTGCTGGTGAGCGGGATCATTGGGCTTGGGGTCGGGGAGATGTGGTGTGCCCGTCGCAGGTTGTTCCACACGTGCAGGGTGTGCGCTGTCGGTGATGTCTTGTCCGGCTCAGACGGTGCTGCGGTCCTGGTAGCCCAGACCGCCTCTGGCGTGGATGCATTGCCTCCAGCCTCCATCAGCGGGACCCACTGTTTATGGGGTGGATGCGAGTGCCACTCCAGTATGCGTTGCAGTACAGTGGCTTGGTGGTATTTTTTCACGTTCGGTAGAGCGAGGCCGCCCCAGTGTCGAGGTAGGCATAGCGTGTCGTGTCTTATTCTGGGCCGTTGGCCCCTCCATATGTATTTGATTATCGCTGATCTGAAGGAGGAGACATACGCCGCAAGTATTGGTAGCGTTTGAAATAAAGCAGTCGGGTAGTATATTCATTTTCACTACAGCGATGCGCCCTAGCCACGATATGTGTTGGGAGCGTAGATCTTGCTGTATCTTGGAGAGGAGCGGTATGTAATTCGATGGGTAGAGGTCCTGTGGGTTCTTCATGAGCCAGATTCCGAGGTATTTCATCCTGGACTCGCACCAGTGGAATTAGAATTGTGTGCATAGGCGGTCGTTCTCTTTGCTGGGTATTGTTAAGTTGAGGACCTCACATTTTGATAGATTTAATTTAAGACCGGATATGTGTCCGTAGGTTGTGAATTCTCTTAGTAGACAAGGGAGGGAGGTTCTGGGTTGGGAGATAAAGAATAGCATCCCATCCACGTATGCCGCTGTTATGCGTCGTCCCGTTGGAGTGGAATCCGTTATTCCATATGGCTAGGAGTAGAGGCTCCAGCGTCAGGGTGAAAAGCAGCAGGGATAGGGGGCACCCCTGCCTCGTCCCGTTCCGAATTGGGAAAGGGGTCCTGAGCGCCCCGTTCACCCTAACTTGAGCGTGCGGCTGACTATAGATTGCGGCAATCCAGGTGAGCAGGTAGATATCAAATCCCATCTCCTTAAGCAGCTCCGAGTCCACCCTGTCAAAGGCTTTTTCCGCGTTGGTGGAGAAGAAGAGCAGTCGGTCTCCTGAACGTTTGGCTAAGTGCTGGATGGAGAGGGCCTGTAGCGTACTGTCACGGGCTTCCCTGCCTGGGACAAAGCCCGTTTGGTCTGGATGTACCAGTCTAGGAAGGAACCTATTGAGGCGGCTCGACAGGACCTTAGTGAATAATTTAATATCGATGTTGTAACGGCACCCCCAGGCATAAAAGGGGTTAATAGCCGTTTAGGAGATATTCCCTTCCAGATATACAGGCAGCTACTGTAGACACCAATCCACCGAACCGGAGAAGCATACGAATGCTCTCAAACATACGAATGCTGTAAACAGCCGAATAGGAAAAACCATACGAATAGGTTTACACTCCTAGCAGTCGAACTGGAACACATACAATAAATCCCCCCAAGAATGAGACAAGGCTCCGTTTTGAGGGTCAAGCAGGATCAGACTGAGCTGTGTCTTTACTGGCCTTATATACACATTTTACAGACAAAGTCCCGCCCACAGGGTTTTGTGGAACATCCAATCAAAACATACAACACAGATAAACATTCCCACAATGAAATCACAATCCCTCCTCTCTATCCTGGAGATAATTGGGAAGTAATCCAATTATCTCCAAGGACAGAGGCAAAACTCCATTAAGCACATGGCAGTAAAAAGACAGTAAAATACAATAAAATACACAAGGTTACATTTATTACATAAAATACAGACATGCAACATATCCCCAGATAGCTTAGGTCTGAGCGCACATTATTACTGAATGGTGCTCAGACCACACACATACAGTTCAATTGCCATGGAGCCAAAGTCTTTTATTACACGAATAGGCTCCATGGCATAGCTATCTGGGTTAAATGAGTTCATTCAGTAAATCCGTGAATGAACCGGCCGCGTGTGAACTGCAGACTGCTGCCATCCAGTGTTCAGTATGCATAGCCGCAGCCACCCGGTATAGTCAATTAAGCTGCGGTTAACCGCAGCTACTGGGTGGTCAATTGACGGCACACGCTCATTAAGTGGTGGCTAACTGCGGCTTCTGGGCGGTCAATTGGCGGCGCTTCTGGGCTGCCAATTAACGGTGCCTGCCAGCTAACCGCGGCTTCTGGGAGGCCAATAGACGGTTGTTCGTTCGGTAGAATCTACCGAACGCCAGGGCAGAAATACATGAATAGACCTTTCTGCATAGGAAAATAAAGTATTTAAATGCCGGTCCATAGTCAAAAGGCAGCAGGCAGGCAACCAGGCTCCTCCAATGCACAGTGGCGAGATTGGTCTCGTCACAGATGTTTACAAGGGAAATGGGCCTGTAGCTACTGCAGAGATCGGGTATTTTCCCGGCTTGGGGAGGATCGTTATGGTTACTGCTAATGAGTCTTTGTGGAGCTTGTTCCCCGTTGTGAGTGCGTTCATGGCTTTGGTCAATTTTGGAATGAGCGTGTTCCCGAATTTCTTGTGGTATTCCAATGTAAACCCGTCAGGTCCTGGGTCCCTGCCCATCTTTGCTGTTTTGATCGCTGCCCTGATTTCTTCTTCTGTGATGGGAGCGTCCATGAGTTCGACTTCTTCTCGGGTTACTTTTTTGGTGAGGTGTTGTGCTAGGTATTGTTGAATCTCCCGTTTTTTGGTGTGTGCTGGGATAGTAGGGGGCTGTAGGTGCAGGTTGTATAGTTGGGTGTAGTAGGCTTGGACTTCGCGCTCTATTGTTTCAGGGTGTTGGTTCGTCCGCCCTCCTGTTAGTTTTAGCTTGTGGACTTGTGCTTGTGTTTGCTGTGCTTTAAGAATGCATGCTAAAAGTTTGCCCCCTTTGTTCGCATGTATATAGTAAAAGGCTTTCGATCTCTGTAACTGCCGGTAGTGCTTCTTAACTAATAGTGCCCGTAGCTGGCTTTGGAGTCTCAGTAGTTCTGTGTATGTATCCTCCGCAAGTGTTCGTTTGTGGCGCGCTTCAATATCCCCGATTCCATTGAGGATTTCCACCATCTGTCACTGGGCATCCCTTTTCTTCTTCGTTGCCAATTGTTTTATGTGGCCTCTCAGGACGCATTTATGTGCTTTCCATGTGGTGGTGACCGGGGTCTCTTCATTTTCGTTGTTTGAGAAGTAGTCGTCCAAGGCTTCCGTGATTTTGTTTCTGATTTCTATATCCTCATACAGGGTATCGTTTAGCCTCCAGGTCATCACTCTCGGTTTTGTCAGTGGGGAGTCAAGTTCCATAGTTACCGCCCCATGATCAGACCACGTGGCATCTTCAATGATTGTCCCTTGTAGTGAGGTGAGCTTTTCGTGCTGTAGGAATATATAATCAATCCTCGAGTATCTAGCGTGAACTCTTGAGTAGTGTGTGTAGTCTTTTACCGTGGGGTGTAGGGCTCTCCAGCAGTCCACCAGCCGTAGGCGTCTGAGTGCCCTCAGGATGCTTCGGATTTCTCTCTGCGGGATGCTACTTCGTCCTGTGGAGGTATCCAAGGTGGGATATAGGGGGGTATTGAGGTCTCCTCCGAGTATGAGGGTTCCCTCCGTGAAGTCAGCCAGGGCGGTCAGGGTTCTGCAAATGTACTGCGATTGGTTCCGATTGGGGGAATAGATGCACGCCAGAGTGTAGGTTCTGTTTGCTATTGTGCCTTTCAGGAAGATGTGTCGTCCCTCCGGGTCTAGAACTTTATCCGTTTCCGTGAAGCCCAGCATCGTAGTGAGGAGTATTGCTACTCCCGCCTTCATGGAGGACTGGTGGTTACTGAGGTACGTTTGTGAGTATGTTGTGTCCCTGAGGGTCGGGGCGGAGTCCCCTCGGAAGTGAGTTTCTTGGAGGAGGGCTATCGAGATTCGCTTTCATCGGAGTTCCCTGAGGAGGTGTGTCCTCCATTTTGGGATGTTTAGCCCCCTGCAGTTATGGGTGAGTATGCGGAGTGGGCAAGAGCGGTATGCTGACTCCGAGGGGTGGGGGGTCCGTGACAGGCACGTGCCACGTGGGCCGCTCAGGGAGCAGCCTTCTATTGTATGCCCCGTTGCGGTCACAGCCTGGTAGTGCTCAGAGGGGGATCGGAGTCCAGGACACGCCCCGATAACAATATATATTAATATCAAAATACAGTTAGAACGAAATTACTTATGTATATATAATTTTTATTTATTTATTATTTTTTTTAAACTTATTTATGTATTTATTTTATTATATATATTTATAAAATTATAACTATATATATATATATATATATATAAAAAACGAATATCATTCTAAGTGTATTTTAATACTAATATATAATTATATATATTAATATTAAAATAAACTTAGAGAAATACTGTATGTGTATGTATATACATAGATCATACATATATGCATTTTATATATATAGATATATGATCTCAGTATATATTTTTTAATTACTAAAACTTTATTAAACTTTCATACAGGCACTGCTGTGGACGGCTATTCTGTCCATGTGATCGCGACATCATCGCGATCACATGACCCGGGAGGGCCTGGTGAGCCACAGGGGACTACCTGGGATGCCAGGTTAGCTCCCCCCCCATTGAAATTGCCGGCGGGGGATCGCCAGCGATCAGGTAAGTGGGAAGGACGGTGTGGACGTACTACGTCGCCCACCAGCATTTAGGACCGGGTCCCCAAGACGGCATAGTGTGCCGGCCATCCTTAAGGGGTTAATGCCCCTTTGTATATATGACATTACCTTATTGACCTCAGCAACTCCTGAATGACACTTGATATTGTTACCTAGTTTGTTGTCTATAGCAATTTCTAAATCTTTCTTATGTGTTTTCTCTAACTCACTGCCATTTAAGATGTAAGTTGCTTGTGCATTCCCCATCCCAAAGTGCATAACTTTGCATTTATCAACATTAAATTCCATCTACCATCTCAGTGCCCAATCTATCTAAATCCATATGCGGCAAACTAATATCCTGTTAACACTGTATTATTTTACCTAGTTTTGTGTTATCTGCAAACAATGATTTGTGCCAAGGATGCATGAACTTCAGAGATGTAACAGGTTCAATGTAGAAGCATGTATTTTTTTATCAATATTTTGACTTCCAGTTATTAATTAAACTGTATGTAATATACACATTCAATAGACTTATCTAGTAAAGCTATAAGTAAATGTGACATTTATAAGTTCCTGATTGAAGGTAAAAAAAGATAGGTATACCTTGCATTTTACGTTCATTTAAGCTTGTCTTTGAGAATCACTACATTACACTTAGTTAGGGAGATAAAATAAAATTACAGATTCTACTGTGTACCTTATCTTACAATATTGCAAATATAATTTTAAATATAGCAGACCCCTAAATACCATTTTTGTAAAATACAGTTGGTGTTACTAAAATAGATACACACAGTTGACCAAATGACAGCCTCTGTAGGGATTTGTAGGGAATGTGTTTACCTTATTTTTTCACAAATGCAGTTACAAAGACCTGTAATTTTCAATGAACAAGGCATTGCAGGCTGTTATCACATGGTGCAAAAATAGTGTATAGTATTTTGTATTTATAAAATAACAGTTTTTTTTATAATTTCCTTTTTGATTAGATAGTTTACAGCCATACAGTGTAATAGTAAGATAACACATAAGATGAACAATCCATTTTTGTAAATAATCCCAGTAATAAGAGAGATGGGTCAGCAAATTGACAGGTCATGAATTGTGTGAGTGTTCCGGGCTTAACCTAAGAGGGTCAGGCAGTCAGAAACAAAACTAAGCATATGACGCAATGTAGGAAAGGGGCAATTGTAGCTACTGGTTTTAATATAATGTAATGGGGCACTTAGAACAATTTGTCAGGGTTATTTACTAAAGTGAAACTCCAAAGGGAATTTTAAATTCAAGATAAAAGTAGCCACATTGGAATCCTTCTTTAAGCCAGATATGCTTCCAATTTGGCTACTTTGGCCTTAACTTGGAAATTCACTTTGAATTCTAACTTTAGTGGAAAAACCCTGTAAATACATTAGACTTGTGACCGAATTGCAATTCACCTGAATTTTAGGACAATCGGCGGACCGTCCATGTTCCATAATTTAGAAGCGCCATATACACGTATACCAGAAGAAATGAATGAGCATGTTCGTTTGTTTTGTGATTTGCTGTTTCATTCATGGTGCCAAAAAAGAGATGATTGATGGGAAAAAAAAAGATGTTATTATCAAAGCTGGACTTATTCATAGATCAATATATACTATATCAATATATTAATACAGATTTTTAATTACTGTTGACTACTTCTTTTCACTTGATCTGTGACCCAAACAGTGGGAAAATTATCCTATCAGTGTACTGCAAAATGTTTACATAATATTTAGATTAAAGGAACAATATAGGGTCAGGTATATACATGCTTGTGTTAAAACCACCACCATCTAGCCCCCCAGATACCCACCTTGTCCCTCTAAATATAGTAAAATCTTATTTTTGTTCACGTCTGCAGCTGCTGGCTCTGCCCCTGATCTGCCTGCTTGGCTGACATCATCAGAAGTGTTGTTCTGAGCCAATCACAATCCTTTCCCATAGGCTTGGCTGAGACTGTCTATGAGGCAGATCAGGGGCAGAGCCAAACACAGCCTTGGCCAATTAGATTCTCCTCATAGAGATGTATTGAACCAATGCATCTCTAGCTGTTCTGGTGACTATAGTGTCCCTTTAAAGGGACTCTCCAGTGCCAGGAAAACAATCCATTTTCCTGGCACTGCAGGTCCCCTCTCCCTCCCACCTCCCATCCCCAGTTGCTGAAGGGGTGTCCCACGTCGCTGCTTCTTCCTCCACCGCCACTCCTCCCCTTCATTACGTCAGCCGTCGGGGCAGACTGATCCCGCCCGCGGCTGGGGAGACCTAATGCGTATGCGCGGCAATGCCGCACAGGCGCATTAGACCTCTCCATAGGAAAGCATTGAAAATGCTTTTCAATGCTTTCCTATGGGGATTTTAGCAACGCTGGAGGTCCTCACTCAGCGTGAGGATGTCCAGCGACGCTATAGCACAGAAAACCTGTGCTATGGACCAGAAAGTGCCCTCTAGTGGCTGTCTAGTAGACAGCCACTAGGGGAGGACTTAACACTGCAAGGTAATTCTTGCAGTTTATGAATTACACTTGCAGGGTTAAGAGTAGTGGGATTTGGCACCCAGACCACTCCAATGGGCAGAAATGGTCTGGGTGCCTGGAGTGTCCCTTTAAGTCCAAAAGGGCTTGCACTCAAGAGCTAGAATGATAGTTTGTACTGGAAGACTATAGGCACGGATAAATAGTAATTAGAGGGAAAGAACAGGGAGTAATTGCTAAAGCGTCCCATAATCCCCCTCATTTAGGTTGACCAGGTGCTTGCATCTAGCAACAGATAGATACAATTATCTAAAAAGAATGGAAAGCAATCCTGGGACTTCTTTAGATGTTAAAATTACTTTTTCATTAGTAACATTTCAGTTTTAGTTAAATATTTTCATCCTGTTGTAATTCAGCAGAACCAAATTCTTCCACTATACATAAAGAATATAAAATTATAACTGTATGTCCAAAGCTCCATTTAACCTGCAGCATGCTCTGCAAAAAAGGATGAATGAAGGGAGGCTGGTAATGTCTCAATGATGGTTATTATTTTTTTTTAAATATTCAGGGAGGGAAAGAAGCAGAGGGTCAAATGAACTGACATAGAAATTATGCATAGCTGGGCTCAGAATTCCAAGGCCTGGGCTGCAAACCTCCTACTGCAATGTGACCACTGGCCCCCATATGACTTGCATACTCCATATTTGTCATTTTCTCTGCTATTCCAATTGAAAAGCATCAAAGGCTCATGAAGTCAAAAAAATGAAAGTACACTTTTTTAGTTATATTATTATTATTATTCGTTATGTAGCAAGAACATATTCGGCAGCACTTTACAATATTATAAGAGGGGGATATTTCACTATAAATGAGACAATTACAAAATGATACAGGAACAATAGGTAAATGGAGACCCTGCTCAAACAAGCATACAGTATAAAGGTTATATCAACAACATCCTCCTGTAGAAGACCATGTGGGGTAAGGTACACTTGCCATTACTGAATTTCAATCACCAATGGCTAGTGCGGTTTGTAAATGTTGAACTCCCTGTGTATAAATATAAAGAATAATCCAGGCACTCCAGCATATTCCAAAATGTAGGCAATTTTTATTGGAACGAGGAACCAAAAGGCAACGTTTCGACCCCTTAGGGCCTTTGTCAAGCTGAACTCCCTGTATAATCATAAAACGTGTCGTATTTAGTTTGTACATCCTAGAAATTATGCATTTTACAGAATAAGGTGGTGGTGTTAATATTCTGATTGCCAGTGACCATGATTTGAAATCCATATGTATTCTGATTGCCAGAAAGCATTGAGCAGCCTCTCAGGATAGTGTTTAGACTAGTTAGTTTATCATTCCATCTTAAAATTGCATTATAACAAGCAACCTCATATATTTTACTTACATATTAAACTTATTTTAATATGTAACATATCATTTTAATGTTATAATATTTGAACAATAATATCCACATAAACAGCCCCTCGGGACTTGTTTGTTCAAATCCTATCTCACATTGCATCAAAAATAATATCCATTTAGATAGGTCTGTATTAACCAAACCTAATCCAATGATTCGCCATCATTAATACGTATACTGTTAGCATCAGAGAGAATGACGTATGTAAAAATTGAATTTTATCATGATTATGATATGATTGAAGGGAAGAAATGGAAATAGACACCAATTTAGTAAAAAGGAACAATGCAATGTATTTACAAAAGTCTAAAAAGCAAGACAAAAACAGACAACGTCAGTACAAAAGGCTAACCGATACATGACTTTGTGACGTCTCGCTATGTGTTCGCCGTCAGCCTTTTTCAGCCCCGTGACCTAAGTTTCTGAATACACACTCAGTTGTTTTTTATATTTATTTTTACAGGTCTGAACACAGCAAAGACAATGAACAAAATACCCAAGAACTAATGAAAAGTGCCTTGGAAACAAACAGGGAAAAGTTTAATATGTTTCTAGCATATTCCATTGTGAACAAAAAAAAGATTTATTTTTACATATTGACAGAATACTATATTCCATAATTCCACTCACATACGTTTTATATGGTGTCTGCTTTAAATGCAAATGGATGTTGCGTGCAAGTGTAATGTAAGTACTACCACTTATTACAACCCTTCGGGTTTGATCCATTATGTTGCTAAACTACATAAATGTGGGACCTATCTAAGGATTTGTTGCAATTTATTTGTAATATTTAAGTTCCCTTTTGTGTATCTAAAAGGTATACTAGGTTCTGCTTTGCAACACTGGCTTATGCAACGATAGCAATGTTTTGTTAAAAGATTTAAAAAAAAATTTCGATATAAGAATCACAGATTTCTCATTGAGTCTAATTCAATGTTTGCATGATAATTGCCTTGTTCATTGTCTGTTCGAGACAATGCAATTTTATGCAGAGAAAAGAGTGCTGCATACAGTTATACATGGTAACGACATTTGTGAATAAGTATAATGAAAATACAGGTTTATAAAACAGTTATATTCAGGATAGTGCCATTAGTTTTCTTGTACATTACATGTAAAAAAAACATTCCAACATGTGCAATATGTAAATAAGTGTAAATACGGTATACATAATAAAGTGTTTGGTATATATACATTAAATTGAGTTGTTTTTTTTTCATTTAATTCTTATACAATAAATTGAGCTTTTTTGTTTATTTAACAGTTATACCTCTCTACATTACTGTTCAACACCAACTTTCCCGTTTATTTTATATTACATATTCTCTATTGCTTCTCACATACAAATGGCCTTTCTCAGATTCTTTACACTATTTTTTTTTTTTCATTTATCATTCCATATACCACTTTATTCCTCAACAATACCAACACCATAATTCTATGCACAAAGCAGTAATGGTAAATGCAGACCATTGCTACTTCTTCAAGATTGGTGTTAGCACATGCGCAAGAGTACAGCATTGAGGTCTATGGAGGGTCGCGGGATCCTCCACTGGTGACGGCTGTCGGGATTGACCGTTAGACTCTGTCCTGAATCGAATTTGTCTCTGTATATCTCTTGAATGGGTTGAGATTCATGTTCCTTATGGCTCCACTAAACTTTAAAATGAATGTAGGAGTGTGTCCTTGTATGAACCCAGAATAATACACAACACTTGCCATTAAAACATGTTCTGGAAGAAGTCTGTACTGTCTATACTTCTGAATCATCTTTCACACCAGACCGCTCAGTTTCCCATGCATAGTAAATTAATCTTTATTTCCTCTATCATTAGGTGGTCACTGAACAGGTATAATTATAATGTCACTAGTTATACTTGCGTTAACACCAAGGAGGAATTTTAGTTCCTTCTTTGCCATCCAAGATCAGTCCAATTCAAACTTGTTAACATCACGCTCACATCTTGCAGGGTTATTCACAAGTGAGAATTCAAAGTGAATTTCAAATTTAAGGACAGAGTAGCTGATGTGAAAGCATAACTTAGAAAATGTTTGCAGTTTGTTTGTTTTGATGTTAAATTTGAAATTCCTGTAGAATTCTCACTCTAGTGAATAACTCTCTTAGACTCACATCTCCCTCTACTTTCTGCAGGCCGGGATTGGGGTTAAAAATAGATAAATAAAATCCAGAGACCAGAAATAAGCAGCCTAATAGAGCAAGTACTGCTGTTTTAGAAACATTAATTGTAATCTAATTGTATTAACTGGACATTTCTCTTTTAATGAACCCTATAGGCCCCCCAGACCCAAATACTCCAGATTTGTAATGCTGTACCTAACACAAATAATCATTTTCGATTTCCCAAAAGTAAGCAGAAAGGGAAAAAAAAAATCTAATTGATTGATTCTTTTCTCTCTTGATGAAATTAAATATCCACCTTAAATTAATTACGTTTAAATTTCTTTATCTCAGTTGTTCAAGATGATAATACACCACAGCTTTACCAATTCTTATACTGTTATCGAGACCCATAGTGTAGAATACTGCACCTTAACCAATAAAATAGGTGGCTGAAAGCAGCTCTTACGAAATTCTTTATTCCAAAGTAGACACTAATATTACAGTGGATGCTGCTGAAGTCAGTCCCATGACAATTTATGGTTGTCATTAAGTTTATGTACAGTAGACAAAGAGCAGGTCAGTTTTAACCAAGATATGTTCTAATAAACATTAACTTTGTATTCAAAATGATAATTGGAATAGATTTCATTGCAAATTCGCTCAAGTAGTAAAAAAGATGGTAAGTGGTGTAACGGAGCTCCCCGTAACCCGAGTGGATACCTCCACCAAAGGCCGCTTCCTAGCTGGAGCAAGAGAAAAACCTCAGCGCCTCTGACCCACCCAGTCGCTGTGGCTTGACTGGAGTCCTGGAGCCCCTCTGTCCTGAAGCAGGCTAGGGAACTAGCTCTATCCTCTCCCAGGGACTTGACAACACACAGTCCTGGGAGCTCTAGTCCTTACCAGGACTTTCCTAGCTGAATTCTCCACGCTGGAACAAGCTGGAGCAGAGATTGCCCTTTCCCCTCCCAGTAACTAGATGACACATAGTTCTGGGAGTACAACTGGAATATATTTTAATGGGACATGGTACAGCCAAGTTATACACAGACCCCCAGCAGGGGCTCTCCATACAATTACACACAAACTCCTCCCCTGTGCTTGGGAGATAATGGAGTCAGGAACTGTACAAACTCAATCATCTCCCAGGTACAGAAAAGCGTCCAATAGTAAAACACCTCAAAAGTATATTTTTAATTTCAAAAGAGGTTCATATATTGTATGGAAGGTCAGACCTTACAACCCAAGTTCCTCTTTAAAGCTGGGACCCCAACAGAGCCACTCTGAGAAGTCACACACAAGTGGCCTGGAAGTCTGGCTTATGTACAAACCAACTCTCACATCTGCCATATGTCTTTATTGCCTCTTAGATAAAGGAATCCTTTGATATGTCAATGATCACCAGCTCTCAAGAACAAAACAAAACCCTGCGTTCCAATATCACATCCAAAAGAGACACCAATACCTATCACAGATTAACATGCAAGCCTCAGTTTCATCATATCTAGAATGGGACAAACACAATCTTCCATTTATCACAATCCCATCAGATGTGTTTTATTGACCCAGGATTTCTATTACATTTCCAACACTGGCTAGAGGTATTTGGTTGAAATTTACACAGCTTAGTAGGGACCATATACAATCTATGAGCAAGTTTAAGAAAGGTCTCCTGTATGTTAACACAATGAGTACATTTTCTAAGTAGTTTGAAAGAATTCCTGACTGGAAAGGAATCATTTTCCCTATTTCTTTTTCCCATTCTATGATAGATCTAAATGTTATATCCTGATTCAAAGAATATATAACTTTCCTAGTCTTGGAAAAAAATATTTCCTTGTTGGCCCAATAAAAGCTTATCTAAAGGTGACTTGTTTAATATTGGGACATTATGAAGAAAATCCAGTATTCCCATATATGCAAATAGTTCTTTGTTAGGAAGACCTGATCTTGATTGAATAATAGACACGTGCAATTAGTTTCGGTATGAATTTAAATTTGGACTAATTTCAGCAATTCGGATGCTTCCGAATGTCCAAATTTTGGTAGTGTCAAACTGAATTGCCGAATCAAACCGAATTTCGGAAGTGCTGAGGTGCTTCAGATTTCTGAAAAGTGGCAAAACAGGAGAGGGAGTGAAAATGGAGAGAAAATTAAGGGAATGATGACAGGAATCTAACCCTAACCCTATCCCTAACCCAGGAAAACCAATATCCCTTCAATTTTTTTCTCTTAATTGTGGATTAAGTCTCAATTGTTTCAGAAATAAACATTTTACAGATGAGTTTAGAAACCTGGTTATTACGTCTCTAGGTGAGGAGGAATCCCTATTTCTGGGGCTATAAATTCTGTGGCATCTTTCTAAAGTCAACTGGTGTGCGTCAATAAATTGATCAATAAATTCCGCAACATACCCAGATAAATCATAAATTTTTATATCCTCAGATATACCTTTAAGTCTTACATTATTTTGACGAGACCTATCTTGTTTTTTCAAGTTCGCTATTTGCTCTACCAGTTTAGAATTAAGGATGGGCATCTCTTTACTTCCGCTAGATTTTGTTTTAAATCTTTTAATCTTTTCAGAAGATTGTCCATCATCTTTGTAAGGCTTAGGTTCGTTATTAGCTCCAGGGAAGTTTCCAGGAGTAATTTTCTTTCCTAAACTTCCGCCAAAGGAGGGGATATAGATCTTCTAAAAAATTGGGTTTTGCTAGATTCTGAAATAAGGGAATAATACAAACTTATAGGTTTATTTTTTCAATGTTTCCTGCTGTTGGATGCTTTTTGGGGGCATGTTTTAAAGATCAAAGCGAAAATATTTAAGCAAAGCTTCCTGCTTGCTAAAAAACAATAATCTTAGTAAAAGGGAGAGAGTAGGAGGAGATGAAAAAAAAAAAAAAAGGAACTTGTATTAAACGCGATAGTCTGTCTCTTCTGCCCCCACTCTATATGGGAGTGAAGGAGACTAAAGAAGAAGTAGCAATCAAATAGAAATATGCCAATTGAAGAACAAATATTTTGACAAGTATTGAGTCCCCCCAAAAAACAAGGGAGTCCCATAAAATGTATCTTTCCTGCCTTCTTTCTTCTTATCACTCTTCGTCTCTTTTTATAGATTTCTCAGGTCAAATTAACTCGATGACTTGAAGTAGTCCGAAAATAGACCAAAATATATAAGCCAAATCTTTCTTGACAAAAGAAAAAGGGAAATATGTTCTTAATAATTTGTTTTTCGGGTGGATAGCTACTTACTCTTTTCTATACATCAAACAGAAATTTAGCGGACTTTGCTAAGCATTTATTTGTCTTTCGTATCGCTCCTATAGCTTCATTTCTGCACTTCACGCTCTTTTAGGATATATCATATTCACACGATAAGACCATCTTCCTCTTTAAAATGTTCCACCATTCTCATCAAGTTGTCTCAATTCTAGGCTTTCAACCACTCTGCCTTTCACTTATTTTCTTTCTCTGCTGTCCCCCTTCTGGCTCCTATTTTTCACCTTTCTTTGTATTCCCCTTCCTTGATATCCTTTAGTTGAAAGCAATATTAAGATGTGAGAATTTGCTGAGAAATCACCTCTCCTGACTTCTTAAAGGATCACTATAGTGTCAGGAAAAAAATCGGTTTTCCTGACACTATAGTACCCTGAGTGTGCCCCCACTCCCAGGGTCCCCCTCCCGTAGTGCTGAAAGGGTTAAAACCCCTTCAGTTACTCACCTTCTTCCACCGCCGGACTCTCTTACCTCTCCTTCCCCCCCGCCATCAGCTCCCCTGTCTGACGTCAGCAGTGCCGTGTGCAAATTCAAAGTGTCCATAGGAAAGCATTTTTCAATGCTTTCCTATGGACGCTCTGCGTGATGGAGGCATAATATGCCTCCAGCGTTGCAGATGCGCCTCTAGTGGCTGCTATGTTTAACCCTAGAGGGACCTGGCACCCAGACCACTTCATTGAGCTGAAGTGGTCTGGATGACTATAGTGTCCCTTTAACTTGTAGCTTGTATGAGTTAAAGGGATTCTCCAGTGCCAGGAAACTGCAGGACCCTCTAGTGCCCCTCTCCCTCCCACCCGCCATCCCAAGTTACTGAAGGGGTTAAAACCCCTTCAGTGACTTGCCGAAGTCCATCAGCGCTGGGTCAGGCTTCGCCTACTCTCCTCCCCCGCAGACGTCAGCTTGCGGGGAAGACCTATTGGGCATTAGACCTCACCATAGGAAAGCATTATATGCTTTCCTATGGGGATTTCGGCGACGCTGGAGGTCCTCACATAGCGGGAGGACGTCCAGCATTGCTGAAAACACTTTTCATGTTCTATCAACACGGAAGTCCCTCTAGTGGCTGTCTAGACAGCCACTAGGGGAGGACTTAACCCTGCAATATAAATATTGCAGTTTATGAAAACTGCAATAATTACACTTGCGGGGTTAAGGGTAGTGGGAGTTGGCACCCAGACCACTCCAAAGGGCAGAAGTGGTCTGGGTGCCTGGAGAATCCCTTTAACGAGTATATTTTGTGCGAGGAGGCAAGAGATAATATTAATTTGATTCTGCCACTATTGGGGAGCTATGTCCCACACACAGACCCAGCAATGTATAACATAGATGCAAAACCGCATTATTAATCCAGATAAACACGTCAAGAGCCAGCTCAGTTGCAAACTCACTCCAAAAGGTTCGCTTCTCAACGGCAGCTCACAGAACTTAGGGCTCCAGACACCCAGCCTCTACCTCCGGAACGGTCAGGAGACAGTCTGCTTCGGTCTTCAAATAGGATGTAATTGCAATAATGGATCCGTAAGTTTACATCAAAGTGTATCAGAAGACGCTAGCTTTCCGTGCGGTTCATACGGCTCTGCCTCCTCGCTACTCCTATCACCAAACAGCCACACCTGCGACGCTCACGTCACGTTCCTACAACATCACCAGCGTAACTGTGACAAATAGTTTATTTTTGGGGGGGACAAGCACAATCTTCCAACCAAGCCTAAACATGATTTGCAAACAAGGGACCCCACAAGCAATACAATGTTAAATAGTCCTGACCTGAAAACAATAAGCGAGTGGGTACATGTGGGTATGGTACTCCATGACAGCGTTCCGTCACAAGTGTGTATTAATTGTCAACTTAAATATTAAAAAATCAAAAAGGTTTTATAAACTTTGGAGCTTTAAAAGAATGAAGATATATCAAAAAACTGAAAACACTTAAGTCAGAAGGACAAAATAGCATGTACGTTTAGAGATGCATGTCATTTTATTCTAGACAGGGAGACTCCATGCTTTAGAAAAAAATAAAAGAATTAGGACAACCGTATACCCTATAGAAAGTACACAAATCTGTATCCCCGGGTTGTAAAGCTATTGTGTTATTTTCACCAGAATACTATGCATGAGGAATGGAATTTTTTTTTCTTAATCCTAAAGGATCTTCTAATATATAGTTTTTTATTTATTTTTTATTCTAGAAGTGTTCTTGATAATATGGGAACAATACAGATTAGCCGCAATAATGGATCTTTTCTTATTCTAATACAAAGATATATTCTGGCATTATGAACAACAGTTTATTGGTTTTGTGATATTACCGAATAAAAATCCAAACGCAAAAATAAGATAATACAATTATCTTTAAAGTCCCTGCAGCATTTGCACAGTAAAGATGCAGAATACAGCCGATCACAGACAAGGTGCACGATTATAGATTCATTATGGTTATCTCATTCTTGTTTATGGTCTCTGATCACAAACAAACACTCAATAGAAAACATTTTGGTTTATATATAGTTCAGGTGATGTGTACCTCCTTTTGGGAGGAGTGTGTGTTCAAACAAGGTGCTAAAGTCAAAATATAAACGGTAGCATCTCTAAACACTTGTGTGGAAATATCCTCGTCTCCACACCCAAAAAGTTCAGAAGTTGTAAAGTGGTGTAAGTGAAAAACCTACACCTATAAGTGGAGTGCTAAATTGTGGACAAGGTAAACTTACCCCCGTGTGGCTTAACGACCGTATATATAGTCCAGTCTGACAGTATTCTTCACACACAATAAGTGGAGCCATTGTACACATGCTGTACATTTTATGGTTTATTTCTCCTATGATGGAGGGAGACTTACTGCTGCTACAGGAAGGCAAGGATGGGAGATTTCTGCATTATAATCTGTGCAATGAGCATCAGCTGTAACAGAGTTTAGATTGTACCTTTATTGTATAATTTATAAAATAAAGACAATGCATTTGCTAAATTAAAACTTCTTTATTTTTCTGTTAAATGAAAGATCTTGTTGAAGTGAATTGCCCGTGGAAAACAATAATTGTGCATTTATTTAACATTATGGAGAGCATCACAGCATGACTCAAAATATTTACACAGTTTGTAAAGAAGACTTTATTCCATGGTAAAATGAGACACTAAAAAAGGTGTACAACAGATATAGCAATCACATGTCATTTCATTAATTTTTCAAGTACTTTTAAAGGAATACTAGGAGCATTTCTCCAAAAATGATTTACAGCATCTGACGCACTGTTGGTAGACGGTCTCAAAATCGTCATCACTTCCCTGAAATACAAGTGTTATATATATTTATTAAGGAGAAGATTGAGTACATATGAAAAATGTTAATGTTCCAGCATTGAAAACTTACATAATAGGGATCCTCAATAATGAGTCTTTTTTGAGGGTCATAGCTTCCAAGGAGTTCGATTTTAGCTTTGCAGTTTTGAACTTGACTACATTTTTTTTTCAGATCTCTGAAAGAAAGCAAGCATTCATGTAACCCTTATTTAATATTGCACTATTTCAGTGGCAAATAAAACAGTGGTTTGAATGATGACGTGTAAGAGTAGAATTAATAATTTTCGTTTCATAAAAAGGATCTTAAAGGGTTTGGTTTTCCATAAGATATATGGAGGGCAAGATCCACTTCAGATAATTGTTGAAATGTTTTACACTGTGTTGGAGACAATCCAGTAAAATCCATAGATATGGCTATGAGTTACATCCCATAATGCTTGCAGTACAGTGGAATTCGTTGGAAGATGTACTTCGTATAGATTGAAATCTGTTTTTGTAATGTGGTGCATAAGAATGTCAGATACACAAAACTGTGACTGTGCTACCACTTTAAAAACTACAACAGCAAATGTAAAGACACACTATATGCATTGTAAAACGGACACTGTTCCCTTTAGTCCTTTCAAATTTAATGCCTTTCTCAAGGAAGGCATTTAATAATGGCATCAGTTATCACAGCAATGTTTTTTTGGGAGTTGTAGATTAACCAACAGCTCTGAAAAGTAAAAAGTTGATAACTTAAGTTGTAGAAATGCTAACTATACTCATAAGATATTGCAGAGTAGGAATGTATGGGGGTAAAGTCATCAATTTGAAAACTATTAAAGGGACACTCCAAAAGCACTTTAAATTGCTGAAATGTTTTATGTGTGAAAGGTGTGTATTTTCAATAGAAAATGTAACATTTATACAATTCATCTTGTTACACCCCCTGGCTGTCAGTCAGCCTTCCTGGTTGTTTAGCTCAGTGGAGCTAAACTCAAGAGGCAGCAATTGCTCAGAGCACCTGCCTTCCAACAACTTATTATTGAGTTGCATTGGGAAGTTGGACAACCATATAAAGTCTGGACTTGTGGAAAGTGAAAGGACTTGCAAAAGAGAGCAGACAATAAAACTACAACTTTTTCAAGCAGTTTTAGATATTGTGCTCAATGTTTGTTTTGGGGGCAGTGGAGTGTCCCTTTAAGAGTATCCTAACAGGTTGATCATTTATCGGGGTAGCGCTGACTTGCAGTGTATGTAACAAAACTGTGTTTTGTTTTAGTTTTTTTGCAAAAATACTTGAGGTTGCTAAAAGAACAGCATACCTCTCAACACTGAGAAGCATGAAATTGGGAGAGGCATTGAGTGTGTCTGTAGTGGCATGTCAGTGATTCCAGTTGCATCACTGGAGGTTCCTAAAATGGGTGGTTGAACTTGGCATGGCAGCACATAAGCAGAGTGCTTGGGACGAGCTATAGGCATTTGCTTGATGCCCCAACAATACTTAGCATAACTTAACTGCATCTTGATGTGTGCATGCTAAGATTATTACAGACATTTCCATGGTATCTCCAAATGCCGAACACCAGGGAATTAACCCAAAGTTGTGGTACAGGAACCTGATGACCCTATGGTAGTTTGGAGGTAAGGAATTAAATAAATCCAAGTTAATATTAACAGATTTTTCTCTGGTGGTTTCGTTCAAAAACGAAATGTCAGCCTACCCAAGAGCAGCAATGTACAGTGTGTGTGAGCAAAGAAAGAATTCACAAAAAATAAAAATGTATTGGTGCTGGGAGTTAACCATAAGACTGAGGAACATCCACGACAATCGAACCAACCAACCAGAATGTGAAACTAACAGTGGGAAATTAAATAATAACACACACATACATAAACGTTAATATTTAACGCATGTCAATGATTTTGAATTACTATCCATCTTTACATACTAACCTTAAATTACTTTCATCCATACACAGTATGTAGTCATAGGAGAGGAAGTCATCTCTAGTAATCTAAAAAGAAAAAAGAAAAAAAAAAAAAAAACACATGAAATTAGTTATTACAACATTTTGCACATACAGATTTAATAAATAAAATGGTGATAGTAATTTTCATTCATAGGGGTTAAAAAAAATATATTTTCAGAATAGATTCTAACTATAAAAGTACAATTAACCTAGCTTATTGATATTAATACTTTTAATAAATATCTGCACATTTATAACTAAATTAAAATACTTCCTGATTTGAACATCCTTCAGTAAGTCTAGGACGAGGAGAAGAGCATGGCTTATTTAAAGAAAGGTAGATATAGTGCCTTCTCCCCTGTGTAAGCAATACTGCCATATTCACATCTTAAAATGGAGATACTATTTTTGGTTTAATCTGACGAGAGCAAGAAATCTACCATGCTGATTCCACAGTACAGTGCAGATCTCCAAATAAACATGCACCTCAGAACAGCGCTGAACAAACCAATAAAACAGATTCTACTGTAGGATCAGAGGTCACAAACATAATAGTGGCAGGCAGAGTTGGATGTCTATTTGTGATATCCAACATATAGACTACAAAGGAAGTGGGAAATGAAAAATGGATGACAATGCCTCAAGGAGTCATTGGCATGCAGGGTTTCCTCGGCAAATCATTTATTTATATTTTTTAAACGTTACATTTGTATGTTTTTTACAGTGCAAGTGTTTAACAAAAAGAAAAGGGGGGGGGAAACAAGGCTTTTTTTAAGACTTAATATCTATAGCACTCTTAAATTATGTAAAGCACTTAGTCTAAATATTTTAACCTAATAACACACGATGACCTATAGTAATCTTTCATTCTATTCAAAACTCTTGCGGGAGAGAGGAAGGAGGTTGAATTGGAAATAATAAACTTCAGTTAGTGACAACATGAAATTAAATGGCTCTATCTTTTCTCCCTTTCCTTTATTCTTCTTAATTTCTGTCAGGATCTGTTTTTTTACAATTTTTGCTGTGCATCATGAATATTTTACAATGTTCAAGTATGCAAGAAAAGAGATAAACATAAAAATAAAGAAATGGGTGCATTTACATCCTATTGCACAATATGTACGGTTTAACAAATTTATGCAGAACAGGGGACAACAGAACCGTAAAGTGTCAGCATTGCTTTACAATATTGATAGCAACCAGTGGTCTATTGACCCGGTGATGAGGGAAAACCAGTATTTTTGGCAACATAGATTGCTGATAGGAGAACAATCAGTTGCTGCACAGCTTATATAATGATTAGGTCATGCTTTAAACATATAATTGTTTATAGGTGCACAACACGCTGGAGTGGTGAAGCCATAAGATTAGCCTGTAGTAGGCGTTGGTAGCAATGTGGAATATTCTTGATGAGTATCCTTATAAGGGAATGTGCACCAAGTGGGGAGGGGAGGTGGGGTTGGTGGTTTAATAGCAAACTAGGTACCATGGAGCTTAAAGTCGAGAACAGAGTACGTACAGTGTAGCAAGTCTCATACGAGGCACGCACCCAGATTTAAGTAAAACAAAAGGATATTTTTGTTTTTATATACCATGAAGACCGTATTTTCAAATGTTCCTTTAAACTCCATTAATTATTCAGAGAATTAAATCTTATTTCAAACAACAGTTGTCCTCTTGGTTAATGACCAGTGCCCACGAAATAAGTACACTTACAAAACTAACATTTAATAGAATAGTATTAACTGTATGATTAAACACACGGTGCTTATTATGCTATAGCATCTTTTAGCCTCATTTTGTGATAAAATTAATTTCAGAAAATTTCTTTATGAAAATTAACTGTAGCTGAAGGAACCAGTGAACTTTTATTTAAACAAAAACAAAGCTCAAAGACATACATTTAGAGACCGGGATAAAAATGGCACAATTTGTACCAATAAGAACCCAACATGGGAACTTCCAAGCTTCATCCAAAAACATACAGGCTGTCCTAATTAGCAGATTGTCACTCACAGCTACCCTCAAATAAAAGTTGTAACTAAAATCAATAGAGAAGAACCAGTATGTTGACAGTAAGACAGCCAAAACAGATTGGTTGGGGTGCATGATGATGCAGACAGCAAACCATCATTAGCTGTATCTGCAGTCAGTTGGTGATCTGTATATAAAAAACCCAGAATGTATCGGATAAGATACGAGTCTGTATGACCGTGCTCAGATTGCATCCTATTAAAGAAAGTCAGATGACGTTTTAAAGCAACATATATTTAGTCTTTCTCTGGTGCTTCAAACAGAGCATCTCATTTCTCTGCATAAAAGCAATATTTTGAGACTGTTATACAGGTAAATTGCGTCCTTTTAAATACTGAACCAGTGTTCTTATCTTTCATTTCAACATTTTCAGTGTTTTTAAAATCATAGAAGGAGATGATGCGTAAAAGCATTCCACCGACATCAGGGAATGTCATGGTTTCTCAATGAGGTTTGCAGGATTACAGCAGGGCATATGACTATTTATAGGGCACTAAGAAACTATAAAAATTGCACTGCCTCGATAAAAGGCTTTACATCTCATCTAACATTTTAGAAGAAAATAAAAAATTAGATCAGAAAGTTTTAAGTTGGAGTAAAGTAAATAAACCACTGTTTACAGATTTGACAATATATTACAAAATAAGCTGTCCTATACCTGTCTTGCTCTATGAGTCGTTTCGGTAGCATGAGTTTTTAAGCAGTTTAGGGCCCTTGAATCTGGGGAGCAACCCACGTTCCAGTCAGAAGTAGCAGCGCTGTCTATCGACCACTGCAACACAAAACATAATTCATATACTTCAATTAAAGTATGAAATGGCGGCAACATACCTGCCTGGCAGTGTGGCTCATTGAGATGCCATGCTTCCTCATACAGCTTTGGCCACGGTAATCAGGAGGATTTCCGATTTCATATGTAGAGGTGGCTGCACTGTCTACGCTCCACTAGGACGAAACAGTTTATTCATTAGTTTAAAATTATACAAATTTACACATTAGAAAATACTTTTTAAAAGAAAACAAACATTGTATTACTCTGGATAAAGTATATACATTAAAAATACTTAATATCAATGTGATGGAATAAAGCATGTCAGCTGGCTCATATCCTTTCTACAATGCTGTGGTGGGAACGTGATAATAATTAAAGCTCGCATGAACTCCTGTATAGCTTAGCACAGGGGTAGGCAACCTTTTAGCAGCACTGTGCCAAAATAGGATTGTGATGTCCCGATATCACTTCCTCTATGTGCTGCAATGCATAAATTGAGGATTGTCCTTCATCACCTTTTCGTATTAGCAGATATCTGAAGTTTCACTGGGACTCCTGATAGGCCAGAGTCTATTTGGCTCTAGCAGCCTTGAGAGAGACACACAGACTGAGAGAAAGAGACACACACACACAGACTGACAGAGACAGAAAGACAGAGAGACACACACAGAAACAAACTAGCGAAGTTTAATTTACGAGAAATATACAATTCTTAAAGGTACACTATAGTCACCAGAAACACTACAGCTTAATGTAGTTGTTCTGGTGCCTACCGCCTGTCCCTGTAGCCTTTTCAATGTAAATGCTGCCTTTTTTTGGAGAAAAGGCAGTGTTTACATTGCTGCCTAGTAGCACCTCTAGTGACTGTCACTCAGACGGCCACTAGAGAGTCCCGTGACAGTGCTAAGGGGGGACAGTGTGCAGCACCTTTGTTCAGCGTCTCCACGCTCTGCATGGAGGTGCTGAATGTTACTCATAGAGAACATGCGTAATATCTTCCCAATGCTTTCCTACAGGAAAGCATTGATTTAGCGGAGATGATTTAGCTGAGATGTTAAATATTAACAGAGACACACACACAAATTGACATTTTCCATTTTAATCCACCCAGCCTCCCTATCTGGTAGAGCTGAGTGGACTTTCCCTGGGGTCCAGTGGGGCTGCTTGCTCCTCCTGTGTGCGAGGGAGCAGTAATCTACCTGTAGCTCCTCTCTGCTCCCTGTAGTGATGCTGGGGCCGGAATGACATCATATTCTGGCTCCCGGCATCACTATACAGCACAAGGGAGCAGACAGGAGCTACAGGAAGATTACTGCTCACTCCAGCTCTGCCGCAGCCTGCACACAGCCCAGGGCGGCCGCCTGCACGCTCACTGAGCCAACCGGACCCATTGTACCTCCATCGAGCCTTTAGCTAAAGGGCTTCAAATTCCAGGCGCCAGGGCAAAATTTCAAGTCGCCATGGCGATCTGGGATTTGCCGAGCCCTGTACCACTTAATTTCCAGGAATTTTTTTTTTCAGGCAGATAGACACACAATGTTACTCAATGAACCAAGCAACATTATTATCTGCCTCAGCTGATGCTACACAACTGAAGAAGCTTCACGGGTTCCAGTTCAGCTGCCCAAACAGTGAATGAATCAGAAATGTATCCCTACCTCATAATGTTAAAGAAAGAGAGAGGAAAAAAAAAAAAAAAAACACCAGACACACAACATAGTTGTCATGGCAATTCCATAATAAAACATTTAGGGAAGTTTGCACATTCATTACTTAATCTTTCATGATAAAGACTGTTTGCCATTCCCAGAACAACTACATTTTCTATTTATGATCTCTTTAGTTGCTATCGTAAAATTCTTTTATAGGGATGTATTTATCAAATCAGAGTGACAGACCAATGGGCAACTCATAGAATTATAGTCCTAAAAACATATAAAGATAAAAGGAGTTCACGTGTAATCTTTACCGCCACGACTCTTTCCGGAGTACAAGAGATGCATTGACATTTGACACAAAAAACAAAACAAAAAAAACCAACAACACTATAATACATTATACGAAATATAAACACTGCCGTTTGTGAGAAATATTTGTCAGTCAGAATACCTCTAATGGCCGTCAGCCACTAAAAGCACATAATTCTGAAGACTTTCAATTATTAAAAGTATTCATATTAAATATGTTAATGCTTCCTACAGGCTGGTTTCAGAGATTGCCTCACATGTGCTGTAAATTCTCAATGCTTCTCGATGAGAAGTACTGGCCTAGTACCAGATCAGCAGTCAGGACGATTTCTGTAGAGAAGGAGCACATGCCAAGAGACCAGGACAGTGCTGGATCAAATGTGAGTTTTACTTCATTTCACGGTTTAAACAAGCAGAGGAACATTCTGTTATTAATACATATATAATGTTAGAGTGTTCCTTTAATATACATGTGCTATATTACTAAAAAGATATACATTAATATGCAAAGGTTTTAGGCAGGTGCTTTTGAAAGCAGAAATGGTAATAAATTAACAAAATGCAAATTGAGGAAAAAGAAGCAAAAGAAAAATCTCAAATTAATATTTGATGTGACCACCCTTTGCTTTAAAAAAAACAAAAACAAAAAACACAGATCCAGTTCTTCTAGGTATGCACAAGTGAGGGATTTTGAAAGCATATAGTCAGGTGCATATTTAAAAATTATACCAAATGCTAATGATCAACAATGTAAACGGTTGCTAGCTGAACTTTCTCTATTTTCACTTTAAAAATTTCCAGTTGTGCATTTCTAACTTTGTTCAACTCCCCAGTTTCCTGAAAAGCCAGAAAGACCACATCATAAAAATTATATCTACCCTGCAGGTGTGTTGGCTTGGTGTGGTGGGTTGTCGCTATATATCCAATTTAAAAATACATATTCTGTACTTAAAAACTATTAGTCGCATGTACATCTTATGACACTCAGAGGATAGAAAAGGTCAACTACTTAAAATCATGCAATAAAGAAGTTTAAAAAAACTACAGTTGGCATGAATCAATTTAGGTTTATGACAAAAACACTTTAAAAACGTATCTGAAAAAGAATCTGGAAATACTTGCTTTTAAATGGCAATTGCACATGTAAATAAAATCCAGTTAAATTCTTAGCTTAAAAAACTTAAAATACAAAATTTTGGTTTGAGTGTTAATATTTGACATCTAGATCAGGGCAATCTAGACCAGAGCAAGTCAATTAATACGATCATGGTCACAGTGGGTCATGGAGCGGATTTACATAAATATGGCCGTAATTTGGCAAATTGGAGATTGTGGGACAGTGGGTCCCGATTAAAGGGTTACTCCAATCACTACTTCAGTGATTTGTAGTGGTTATGGTGCTTGGAGTTAGTATGTGTAGCATTTCAGCTTGAAAGGCTGCATGTACACAGTTTAACGACCTCTGTGCACCCCAGATCCTTCCCTTTGCTCGTCCTCCCTTACATCCCTCATGTGAGGTGGTGTGACAACAACAGGTGTCAGTTTATTGATAGAATATATATATTCAATTTTATTCTGAATGTTCATATATATATATATATATTTATATTGAGAAGAACATTCAGAATAAAATTGAATTTTCAACGTAGAAAGAAAGCCACATGCGTTTTCTGTTATCTCTGCAAAAGTTGGCTACTTTGAGGAGTCAAACATTAGATTTTGTTTAACAACTATTCAAAACAATTTTTTTCAACATCCCCACTTCTTTTGTTCTTTGCTTTAACATCAAAGTACAGACCCTAAACTGCATAAAATGGAGATGTTCTGGAGGTCTGTAGAAATTGTGTACGTATGTATTCATGCATATAACAAGACCTCCTTTCTCAACTGCTTAAACTGTCCATTTAATCAAAGTCTATTTCGTCCAACCTGGACACGTACATGGAGTGGGATAGTCCAGCTAAGATGGAGGTGATCCATGGGTTCCAGTGGAGAGCCCTGGTTAACATGAAACCATTTCTAAAAGGTTTGAGAATTAAATCTGTACACCAAGCTGGGAAGTCTCTAGACAGCAACTACAACTTCACCAAGGAGGCTTTTCTAAGCTTCATGAAGGTGGAATTTTTGGCACTTTTACCTTAAGGGTTGTTTTACTAAGAGAATTCAAAAGGGAATCAGTTTGGCTAGTTTGACCTAAAAATTTGAGATGCATTTGAAAGCACCTTGAATTATCACTTTAGTGAATAACTCTATAGATTTGTTCCACTGTAATGTAATGAATTCTCTGATGGTGCACCAAGACATAGTAAAATGACAGGTAGGGCTTCCTGCTGATACCCTGTATATAAATGTATTAATTTTTTATTTTATTTTTAAATAGGTTAAACCCCCAAAATAAAACCAAACAGGAGAGGACACTAGGAGAGTCTAAATACTATAACCACAAGTTACCTGGTTTGACAAGCCTTCATCAGTAACCAGCTTCCGGAAAACAGCTTCAGCTATGGGCGAACGACAAATGTTTCCTAAAGAGAAAAAGTTGCAATTGTTACAAAATGTTTGTTGGGACATAATTCACAGAACTCTAATATTAAAGTATGTCAATAGTGAAAATAAATCATAGGACACAATATATTGCAATTACTAAATTTGGAGATTTGCTCCGGTCAGAACTGTAATTTGTCCATATTTGGCCCTCTGTGGCGACCGGTCAAATTTCTAAGCTTCAAAAAAAAAAAAAAAAGTGATACAGTGGGTCATATGTGTTGACACCACTTGTATCGGTTGTTTGTTTTTGCTTTTTTGTATCTATTGGGGTCAAGCCCCTAGAGTCTCGACCTGGTATCTTAAATAGTCGGTCACAGCTAGGCGCTTTGCTTTTGCTATAGCAGCTCAGGTGCGACCTACTGTCTTCTATTTGTATGTTCTTCTTGTTTCAGTAGGTTTCAATACCATAGTACCAATCAAGTGTATCATGGCCAGTTTTTTTATTTGATAAATCCAAGAAAGATATATGGGGTACAAATATTGATCAAGTTTTCTCAGATCAGGAAATCAGTAGCAGTCTTAGTGAAGATATCACTTCATCTTTTAATTGTCTGACTAATTTATTTCAACAACAGATTAAAACAGGGTGGGAAATTGCATCCTTATAAAACTACCTTAAAAAAAGAATACCTAGAGGCTTGAGGATTCAAAATATCCCAGCTACACATATTGAAGAGGAGGAATTTATTAAAGAATGGGAAGAGGCTGCAGGGAATTGTTCAAAAAGATTTATGGAGATCTTATGTAAATTTGAATCCAAAAGACTAGAAAAAGTTAACAAAGAGGTTGATGATCAGATCAGTAAAATTGAAAAATTTAAGAGTGAACTCAACTTTGAATCTTTAGAAAATAAGCTCAAGAGTAACCTGGATAAATTCCAACAGAATATAAAAACACAACATTCTAAATTTGTAAGAGACAGCAAAGATTTTAAAAGTGGGAACATCTATAGAAGGAATAGGGGAACTAGGAAAAGCTTTTCTGAGCTGATTTCAACATCAGAATATGAGACAAGCAGCTCAGAACCATACTCTAATCAGACAGGCACCACAAATACTGATGAGCGTAATACCAGAAGTATCCTAAAACGGGGGTATCTTTTTTAGGACATTCAAATATGGAGGACAATGTAGCCCCCCCCAGACACGGAGTTGATCCAGACCCCCACAATACAGAAGGAAACGGCACTAGTGCAAGATAAAAATCAGATCGTCAACCTCTCTTCACACATTCTTACTAAACCAGAAATGCAAGTATTACAACGAGGACTGTCCTTCATTCCACTTTCTGACTTTGACAAGTTTAGCTGGACAAAGGACATACACCTATTTGCAAGGAAACTTGCATTCCATGAGTTCCATCGCATTAGAGAAGAAAAAAAGAGCAAAAAACCTTGACTTACAGCCCTCGGATATTGGCGTACTAGACACGCTTGTGGACCTTTTGTCCAGTAATGACATATCTATGAACCCACAACCTCCCTTTACACAATTTAAGAAGAAAAGCATGCTTACACCACACCTTGCAGAATTCAAATACATTGCCTTATTTGTAGAATTAACCTGTAGTAAGATAGAGAAACTGAATAAAAAAAGATCTTGGGATGCAACCCTACAGTAATATCACACCGCAAGAGAAAACATCCCTTAAACAAGTGCAAGGGATGGAAGACCTCATCTTTAAGCACTCTGACAAAGGTGGTATTACAGTGGTCTTAGATAAGACAGATTATATCTCCATGGTACAGCGACTAATTGAGGACAAAGATACCTACGAAATATTAAGTGGAGACCCCACTAAAAAATACCTGTCAGAATTGAAAAATATTTTAGCTGAAGCCTTTTCACTGTTACTGATTTCTAAAGATGAATACATTTTTATGATTATAAAAAAGAAACAAAAACACGTAATTGCCATGTTTTACTCACTACCAAAAGTACACAAACAGCAGTCTGTACTTAGTGGTAGACAGATTGTCTCAAATAGATCTAATCTAACCCAGAATGTGAGCATATATGTACACCAGATCTTAAGAAAAACAGTCACTGACCTTTTCTCATACCCGAGAGATACCAAACACATCCTAAACATCATAGATGGAGTATAGCTTCCCGATAACGCTATCTTATGCAGTCTGGATGTGGAGAGCTTGTATAGCTCTATTCCACATGAAGTGGGTTTGGCACATCTAAAAGCCTTTCTGGACATATGTCTAACAGCCTCAAAAAGACAATCAATTTGTTCAGGATTTGATGCGTTTTATTCTCATGCACAATTACTTCATCTTCCAAGGGAAATACTACCACCAGGTGAGAGGGACAGCTATGGGGATAGATTGCATATATCATGAATTTGTATTTTGAACATCAGTTACATGAACTATATAATGTATTTCCCCTTTAACATATGGGATTAGGGGACCTCATGAACACATACCTGGATACCAGTAATATGCATCTGATAACGTACTTTGGGTTTTATATGGATCGGTTCCAGTTTAGGGGACACCCAATAGAACATGTCATATTCCCGATACGTGTGGGATTAGACAGACCGGGGTTACATATATCGTAGGCATTATTGGAAGAGTGACTACTGTAACACACACCAATAAGTGGAACTGAGCCTGCAACTCACCCAATGTTACATACTTGCTAATGGAGTTATGGTCCGTTAGGACTATTCTCATATTGGATCGCAACAATGGGAATAGAGAAATACTCCTGATCGTGAATCTTCACGATCATTTATCCACACTCACGTTAAACGATAATACTAGAATCATTCATCGGACACTTCATACATTACTGACCCATATGGGATGTCTTGGAGTGATGTGAATGTGACCCACTATCATAGCTCCTTCCATGGGAGGTCTCCTACTACGGAGCATTATTCATTTGCAGGGAAGGATTGATGGAGTATCCGCCCACATTATACTCATTGAAGAATCTGGCAAGACACAACCTATCTTAACTCTGCCCAGTATACACCACGTGGGGCGGGACACAGTCTGGGCCACCAATGGGTGAAGAGTCTAATAGACTGGAGCAATATGTGATGCCTTTCAGGTGTCGGACACATTTACTCCCACCGTCTCTGTACATCCTATTGGCTGAATGTAGACACACATTATGGGGTACTAGTGTACATAAGTGAGTCTTAGTTAGAAGTATGTTTTCCCCTGATGAAGGTGTGTCTTATACAGCACCGAAACGCGCATCCGGCATTTTTTTTTCTTTTTTTGGGCTATAGGCACTTGACACGGCACTTTGTTTGCCTCACATGGTTTTTGTTTAGTATGTGATTTTTTTCCTTTACCCTTTCACTGCTCCTACCTCTGTCCAGTCAGTTAAACAGGGAGCAGGGCTGTATAATTAATCTCTACTGATAGCTTATTGGAACTCTTACTCTCTATCCTAACGCTATCAAATTTATGACAGACTGGATCCTCTGAGGACATTGTTACCTGATAAATCCCAGTCAGCACTACAAACCTCTATACTGAGGGCTCTTTGAGGGGCCAATTCTTGATATATCAGGATTTACTCTATAGACAGAGTGGATACACGGTATGAAGATTTATTCTTTGAGTATATAACAGGAGACTAAATATCAGGGGAATGTTCTGATATATTAAGAGCCATATCTAATAAAGGTCACATCAGTGTATACCTGCAACAGTACCTGTATAGGACTTTGGTCCACTATATCCTTTTTTGTATATAGGAGCACAGTTTACTTTAGTTCACTCAGACTCCTATTTTGCCTCTATTACTATCTAATAGAGGCTCACTAGAAATCATATATATTCACCTGCTACTAGGTATACTTGCATATTATTGTTACTTTTAATATCAATTTAACTACGTAGATCTCCAGGTGATACCGTGGGTCATATGGGTTATGACCACTTGTATCGGTTGTTTGTTTTTGCTTTTTTTGTATCTATTAGGGTGAAGCCCCTGGAGTCTCGACCTGGTACCTTAGATAGTCGGTCACAACTGGGCGCTTTGTTTTTGCTATAACAGATCAGGTGCGATCTACTGTCTTCTATTAGTATGTTTTTCTTATTATTAAAAATAGAACCTAGAACATGGGAGGTGATTTCTCAGGTGAAACCAAAAAGCCTACTAAACCATGCGAAAACTCTCATCACCCTCAGACAGCCACATAGGGATACAGTTATGATCTCTCTAGGGCTGCAGATTCCAGCCTAGTCATCCAGTTTTATTATTAAAATTAGGGAACTTGGAGCATGGGAGGCTCTAAGGGAAAATTAAGAGGACTAGCAAGTCATGCGAAAACTCTCATCACCCTCAGACAGCCTCATAGTGATACAGTTACCATCTCTCTCTGTCTGCAGCTGCCAGCCTTGCCATGCAGTGTTCCACCGGGCCCTTTCCCTATTACAGTACTGTACATGGTAATAACAGAGCATATTGGACTTTATAGCAGCCCACAGCCGGCCAGCCAGGCTTTCACGACATCTAACCAATAAACCGCGGCGGCTTTCTACCTCCTGCCTCGTGTCCCCACACACCGTCACTCACCCAGGCAGACAAACAGCACGGACTTGTCACCGGTGGCTGCCATGGCCGCTCAGACTGCTGATCACAGTCGCTGCGCGACACGAAGCGCACTGCTTTACGGTAAAACGCGTCACTTTACGGCTCGCCTGGCAGACGCGGAAGTGGTATCCCTCCGCGCGTGTAGTTTCCGGTGGCCTGACTCTCCCTGTGGCGGAGGTGACACACTGTGTCATTAACATTCTGCGAGTAATAGTGCGAGCGTCGCCTAGTGACAGTATAGTGTGGGGGAGGGAGGGAGATAGACAGGTGTGACCTCCTCCTCCTCCATTACCTGAGTGTAGGGTGTGGTGTGTCCATAAGGAAGCAGGAATGAGAGCACACTCTGCTCTACCCCCCAGTCACTAGAGAGAGAGAGGAGGGAGCTGTGAGTGAGGACTCAACAAGTGAGTGATCCACACTGAGCCCTGGGCTGTGGCTGGGAGGTGGGCAGTGATTGCTGCATGGTGGCTCTGTTCTGGAAACACCTGCTATGGGATGTTAAAACAGCAATGGCCAGCTCCTCAGCTGCTGGAGAGCCATGCAAAGCATCATGGGGGATGTAGTTCTACAACAGCTGGTTAATCTTCTTCCCTTTTTTTTGACTACCATGTACCCTGTTACAAAGCATCATTCTGTGTATGTGCTGTCATGGCTGAGAGTGAGCAGTGTTCACTGTAATGGATGGAGGCTGGGTCTGTCCTGCAATATTTGCAGGTAGTATTTATTATTATTGTCTGTAAATCTGTGAAAATATATGCACACAATGGTATTTCACATATTTATGTTGGATCTATTCTTGAAATATCACCATATTCTAGTTTTATATGAAACACAACGTATCTATTAAATATTTGACAATTCAATGTGTTTACAACCAAACAATCAGATTTATATTTGCATATATATTGGAAATATTACTATATGATATATTTTAAACGGTCCTTTTATGTGTCTTAATATGTGATGTAATTGGTGGCTTGGTTGTGATTTTTAAAAAAATATATAAAAATTTATTATTGCCATTTATATAGCGACAACAGATTCTGTAGCGCTTTACAATATTATGAGGGGGGGATATAACAATAAATAGGACACTTACAGGAACGATAGATTGAAGAGGACCCTGCTCAAATGAGCTTACAGTCTATAGGAGGTGGGGTATAAAACACATTAGGACAGGAAATAGCAATCAAATAAGGTGGGAGTGAAGCAGAGTTGGAGGAGGGGGTAGAGTGCTGCCCTTTAGGAGAGGGCAAGAGACCGGTATGTAAGGTAGAGGTTACTCTGGGAGGCCATAAGCTTTCCTAAAGAGATGGGTTTTAAGGCACTTAAACGATTGAAGACTAGGGAGAGTCTGATGGCGGTAGGCAAGCTATTCCATAGGAAGGGAGCCAAACGTGAGAAGTCCTGCAAGCGTGAGTTGACCTTACAGGTACAAGCAACGGACAGGAGAAGGTTACGGGCAGAGTGGAGAGACAGAGAAGGAGAATACCTATGGATCTGTGAAGAAATATGAGGGGCTGAATTGTTCAGTGCTTTATCGGTATGGGTTAGCACTTTGAATTGACTATTATAGGATACAGGAAGCCAATGTATGGGCTGACAGAGAGGTGAGGTGTGAGAGGACCGACTAGAGAGGAAAATCTTAGGGTGTTGGCAGCATTCATTACAGACTGTAGCTGGGCAATATGGCTTTTGGGAAGACCAATTAGGAGAGGGTTACAATAATCCATGCGGGAAATTACTAGAGCATGGACAAGCTCCTTGGTAAGAGAGACGTGGATGCGGGCTATGTTTTTAAGATGGAATCGACAGGATTTGGCAACATACTGGATGTGAGGCTAAAAGATGAGGCCAGAATCCAGTATGACGCCAAGACAGCGCACTTGCAAGGATGGACTTATGCAGATACCACTAACTTGAAGGGAGAGCGAAAGAGGAGGAAAGATAAGGAGCTCAGTTTTAGAGAGATTGCGTTCCAGAAAGCGGGAGGACATCCAGTCAGAGATGGAAGAAAGGCAAGCAGTGACACGTTGCAGGACGGCAGTGGATAGGTCTGGGTAGGAGAGATATATCTGGGTGTCATTAGCTTACAGGTGGTAGTGGAATCCAAATGAGGTAATAATTTTGCCAAGAGAGGCAGTATAAAGAGAAAATAGAATGGGACCAAGGACAGAGCCTTGGGGGAGGAGGTATTAGAAAAGGAGACACTGAATGAGCGCTGGTAGAGATAAGAGGAAAACCATGAGTGGACGGAGTCACAGAGACCGAGTGATTGAAGAGTTTGAATAAGAAGAGCATGATCAACGGTGTCGAAGGCAGCACAGAGGTCAAGAAGAATTAGTATGGAGTAGTGACCTTTGGATTTAGCTGCGACAAGGTCGTTGGTAACTTTTAAGAGCAGTCTCAGTAGAGTGGAGAGGGCGGAAGCCAGATTGTAAAGGGCCAAGGAGAGAGTTGGAATTGAGGAAGTGAGACATACAGGTAAAGTCAAGTCTTTCCAGAAGCTTTGAAGAAAAAGGCAGCAGGGACATGGGACGATAGTTAGAGGGGGAGGACGGGTTAAGAGATGGTTTGTTTTTTTTCAGGATAGATACTACAGTGGCATGTTTATGGTCAGCAGGGACAACGCTAGCAGAGAGAGAGCAGTTGAAGATGTGTGTTAAGGAAGGCACAAGACAACGGGAGAGAGATCTGATAAGGTGAGATGGGACAGGATCGAGCGGGCAAGTGGTGGGGCGAGAGGAAAGGAGAAGCGCAGCCACCTCTTGTTCAGTAGCCGGGGAGAAAGCCTGAAGTGTAAGAAAGGTATGTTCTACATGTGGTTGAGAAAGCGAACGGCAAGATGGGGAGAGTTCTTTCATTAGCTATTCAGCCTTGTCGGTAAAGTAGCAGGCAAAACAATCGGCTGTAAGGTTAGTTTGGGGGGTTGCCACAGCAGGGCGAAGAAGAAAGTTAAAGGTGTCAAAGAGACGCCTGGGATTGTGGGAGCATTAACTAATGAGAGAGGAAAAGTTTGACTGTGTGGTGAGAGCCAGGGCTGCGCTGTATGAACACAATATGAATCTATAATGGAGATAGTCTGGGTGCGAGACTTCCTCCAGAAGCGTTCAGCACAACGGGAGCATCTTTGCAGGGGGCGTGTTCTCCTCAAGGTGGTTGTTTGGAGCGGGGCTGCAGCGTTCAAGGCTGCGGTGAGGGTAGTGTTATATGCAGTTATATATCATCATCATAATAATAATAATATGTGGAGCTGGCCCGTGAAGGACAGGAGAGGGAGGCATGGATACTAGTTGTTTATTAATATCAGCTGACAGCTGCTGGAGGTCAATAGAATTAAGGTTCCTCCTGAGTTGAGGGGGGTTAGGCTAAGGTTGTTGGGCGAGGGGGTACTTGAGAGCAAATGATAAGAGGTGGTAATCAGAGAGAGGAAATGGAGTGTTGCAGATATTAGATACCGTACATGCATAAGAGAAAATGAGGTCGAGGGTATTGCCAGCTATATGGGTGGGAGAATTAGCCCACTTCAATAGCCCGAGGGCAGAAGTAATTGAAAGTAGTTTAGAGGTTGCTGAGGTCAAAGGTGGATTAATGGGAATATTGAAGTCCCTGAGAATTAGGGATGGAATATTAGAAGAGAGGAAGTAGGGTAGCCAGGCAGCAAAGTGGTTAAGGAAGAGGAGAGGGGAACCGGGGGGGAGGGGCGATTAAACAATGGCAATGTTAGCAAAGAAGGGTCTGAAAGGGCGAATCAAATTAATTTCAAATGATGGGAAAGAGAAGGTATGTGGGGTGGGTAGAGGTTTGAAGGAGCAGTGAGGTGAGAGGAAAAACCCTACACCACCACCTTTACATTCAAAGTGTCTTGGGTTGTGGGTAAGTTGGAGACCACCAAAGGATAAAGATGCAGGGGTAGCAGTGTCAGAGGAGGAGAGCCATGTTTCTGTTAAAGGACCACTCTAGGCACCCAGACCACTTCAGCTTAATGAAGTGGTCTGGGTGCCAGGTCCAGCTAGGTTTAACCCATTTTTTCAAAAACATAGCAGTTTCAGAGAAACTGCTATGTTTATCAATGGGTTAAGCCTTCCCCTATTTTCTCTAGCCGCTGTCTCATTGACAGCCGCTAGAGGCACTTGCGTGCTTCTCACTGTGATTTTCACAGTGAGAGCACGCCAGCGTCCATAGGAAAGCATTATGAATGCTTTCCTATGTGACTGAATGCGCGCGCAGCTCTTGCGCGTGCGCATTCAGCCGACGGGGAGGAGAAGAGGAGGATCGGAGGAGGAGAGCTCCCCGCCCAGCGCTGGAAAAAGGTAAGTTTTAACCCCTTTCCAGAGCCGGAAGGGGGCACCCTCAGGGCACTATAGTGCCAGGAAAACGAGTATGTTTTCCTGGCACTATAGTGGTCCTTTAAGGCTAGTAAATCTAGGGAACGAGAGATGAAGAGGTCGTGGACAGCAGTGGATTTTGTAATATTGCAAACAGAGGGCAAAATTGAAGGGGGATTTAGAGGAAGAGTAACACGAGATGGTATGATATTGGTGTGGTTCCTTGAGTTAGTAAGTGGTGGGTTTTCTGAGATGGGACCAGGGTTTGGAGAGACATCACCAGCTGCTAGGAGCAGAAGGATAGAAAGGAAGTGAAGGTGGGAGTAGGATTTGAAAGTTTCGTAGGAGGGTATGTATATAGAGAATTTGGGAGGAGTTGGAGGAGACTGGCTGGAAAGGTATATGTAGAGTGCATGGGATGAAAAGTGGAAGTAATGAAGATGGTGTTGCCAAGGACAGGTGAGCAGAAGGATAGGGATATTTTAGTAAAGTTAGTGTGAAAGTGAAAAATAGAAGGGAGAACATTAGAGTAAATGTTTTGCTATGTAGATATGAAGATTATACATATATGCACATGTATAAACATATACACACATATACCTATGCGTGTTTAAACCATGGTTAAGGATGCAGGTTGTTAATAGAGGCATTTAGTGACTTGATGGTGTGTTTTGAAAACCAGCTGATCTGCGCTATCTATAAGTATGGTAATGACTACTGTCATGAGTACTGGGTGTTGCTAATCAATGCTGTTATTTGGGGCCCAGTCTCTGCTTAGGCTTTTCCGCAGTGCTTGGTTGCTTGTGAGTACTGGGTGTTGCTAATCAATGCTATTATTTGGGGCCCAGTCCCTTAGGAACTTTTTGGAGTGTCCTTTATTGTGGTCAGCCTAAGGCACACCTTTGCAATAATCATGCGGTCTAATCAGCATCTTGATATGCCACACCTGTGAGGTGGATGGATTATCTCGGCAAAGGAGAAGTGCTCACTAACACAGATTTAGACAGATTTGTGAATAATATTTGAGAGAAATAGGCCTTTTGTGTACATTGAAAAAGTCTTAGATCTTTGAGTTCAGCTCATGAAAAATGGGGGCATAAACAAAAGTGTTGCGTTTATAAATTTTGTTCAGTGTATGTAACATTAAAGGATCACTATAGGCGCCCA